AACCTAATTTTCCACAAGCTTTACAATTAAGTGTAAAATGATGCAAAACTATACTAAGGTATACGCAAAAATGCATCTCTGCATTTTGAATTTATAAAAACATTTCTGGGAAGAAATCAGCCCCTGCCTTTTCCTCCTGCTTGGGTGACTTTGATGGGCGTCCTCAATTTCCACTCCTCCATCACATCTTTTTATTTGCAATAATGCACTCTATATAAATATATAAATGTCCGACATCTACTTTGAGGAGTGACCTTTATTTAGACATGTGATGCAAATAGTTATTGTCTACATTATACTGTATGTTTATTCATTTACTATTACAATATGGTATTGAACGACTCTGAGATGGTAAAGTACTATTCTGATATTATATTGCACTATTTTAAGGATTTTAGTGTAACCAGGTCTGAATACAATTTAATATATAAGTAATAATTATTTAGGAGCTTGGAGTTCATTCGAGAATTTCTGAGAGAATGCAGCTCTGGTAGTACAGATATGGGAGTGTGTGCTGGGAATGCTTATTCCAGGACTCTTAAAAATTACCATGGATGGGTGGTCAGAGGAGTTTTTGCAGTAAGTTTTTAACATTGACTAGTTAATAGATGAGCGGCCTTCATTATCAGGGTACAGTTACTAAGATGATTGACTCATTCACATGGCACAGCAGGCATGAATTATCACTAAGCTCTTCCCTTTTAGGTTGCAGTGAAAGCTCTTCCATACAGAGAAACTTTTATAACCCAGCTGGCTGTCAAAAACACGAGCAAGATTGACCCACTCAGTCGTCAGTTCGAACACGCCCTGCTCTCTGACATCGAGGTCTTCGTTCAACATTTAGACAGAGTTTTGGTTGTGATCAACAATTTCTACCTCAAGCATTCCTTAGACTCGTCTGAAACTGTTTGATCTCTTTGAATTTGAAGAACAATACAAGTATGCATTTATTCATTTAATAATATTATGTATCCAAAATTAACAGTTAAAATCATCCTTTCAATATTTTCTAATATTATGTGACTCTCATTTATTCTTTTATTAATATTATGTATAAAAAATTAAAGTTAAAATTTTCCTTTCAATATTTTCTTATATTATGTGACTCCATTTCTTCCCTTGCTGATGGCAGCTAGGTAGTGTGGTTGCTATTTGAATTTTGCCTTGGAAAACTCTGTAAAGATAAATTTAAAAACAACTCAAATTCATAGCTATAATTTGACAGTCCATAACTTTTTATTTTTTATTTAATTAATTAAATTTTAAATAAATATTTTCTCAAAACCTCCAGCCTGAAGAACAAAGATTTAAAGACATTCCAGCCATCATCAGAGGGGTAGGAGGCTCCAGATCCGTGCAGTCTTTTGATGTACGATGAACTGTTGTTCCTCTTGATCAACACAGAGAGGAAGCGCCTCTGTATGTCACAAGGGTAATTTTATTAACCTTAGCTAATCTCTAAAACAAAGCATTTCCGACAACCTTTTGATACAATAGGGAAAAGCTGAGGAATGTTAAAAAAAAGAGGTGGGCATTAATTTGAATTCAAAATAAAAATTTGGCTCTCTCAGTGCAATCGATTCATTCTGCATGGTTAAACTAATTTTTTTTGTTGGTAAGTTTTCAAACCAGACAATAATGATCATCAGAGCACTAGATATTATTTGTTTACACAAGGTAAAATACACTTGAAGATTGTCTGTTTATTTTTATGCCACGTTGTGTGACCGTATTTTGTTGGCTGTTGCTGTGACAGTATTGTGTTGGCTGTTGCTGTGACCGTAGTTTGTTGGCTGTTGCTGTGACTGTATTTTGTCAACTATTGCCCTTTTTCCAATAAAATTTCGGTATATCGTTGATATATTTTTTTGGCAGCCGATTTTTTTTCTTTTTTTCTAGAAACTTGTATCTTAAAACAAGAAAATAATTTATTAATGTAATTCAATGCAATAATGTGTCAGAGCTTTAGAATAAATAAAATGAAAGAGAAGGTCTGGTATCATCAGACAACCTTATATGTCTGTCACTGAGTTTGTATGCTGTCTACTTTTGTAATGAATCGAGTTTGTAGTTGTTGACATTCTATTTCAAATAGATTTATAGATTAGTTTAATAGTTTTTTTTAAAAAGTGAGCTTTGTGGCTTGAAAAGTACTTAATGATGTCTATCTAATCGAATGATTTTTTTGTCTCATGAATGTGTCAAATTTGATTTAAAAGTAGATGAAATGAAACATATGTTCAGGACAGAATGGATCGTTATATTGATTTGAAAACTATGCACTGAGATGAACATCTGATTTGGCTCCAATCAATCAGTTGTTTTCGTGAATGAACCCTTTTTTTAAATGATATCTTCATTTAGTTTTATAAATGAAGACTATTTGTTAAAATGGGACTAAAGCTGTCAGAGTGTCACTTGGTTGTAATAGGACTATGTGGTCCTCTGTCAAAGTTATTTGTTATCGATATTTGTAATTTAAGTTTGCATAAATTTGTTTGCACATGCCTATTTACACATAGCTTCATGCAATCCTCATTAATTATGGTCCCAAGGATCAGAGTCCCTGATGTCTTTTGCGCATTCATATTGTATACATTAGCAAACATTTAGAGACATAATCCACTATTGTACACAACACAAGAGTTGTATATTTCAGTTAGTGTTGGCCACTTGATGCCTACATGTAGTTAACAGTTGCATATCTTTATTCAAAGGTAAATCTGGGATGCTTACATTTTCAAAATCATGTTGGGTGCTGTTAATGCCCTCATAAAGAAGATGTTTTTTATTAGAGCTACAAAGTCATCAAAAAAATGTTTAAGTTTTAAGTTTATTTATAACAGACTGACCAATGCAGTTTGAAGAGAAATTGGTCTAACTCATTAATCAGCCAGTTTCTAGAGCCACCAAGCTATTCTCAGTTCTGACCCTTAATCAATCACCTACTTCACCACTACCCTACTGCCCAATGCACCTACAGCCCCACTAACTACTGCTCAAAGGTCCCACTCGCATACTGTCCCACTCACCTACTGCCTCACTACCCGACTCATCTACTGCTCTATTGTCTTACTACCCAAATGCCTCACTCACCTACTGCCCGACTATCCTATGACCGGCTGTGTAAATTTATTTATACTTTTGTCAATTCAAATTTATTTATACTTTTGTCAATTCAAAAACAATATGATCATTGCATCTAAAATTATACCATTTTCTACGATTACAGATATAATATAGAGCAATATATATTAATATTTCTGTTTGTATTTGCCAAAAATTTTGAACATTGCCATTGCTCAATTTATCAGGTGTTAAGCTGATATTCTGTGTGAACAGGAGATTAGTGGTGGCAATGGCTAAGCCAGTCTGGCAAGTTGGCTCATGCTTCCGTAATGTGGAAATCTCTTTATAAATATTAGTTATTACAAAATATATAGTCAGAAAAATGTAAATATGTTTTAAAAAATTATTTTTTGTTGAATTGCTATTTAATAATCATAGAACCATTTTATTGAGACAAGTGTAGTCCTAAACTTTGTCAATTGAAATAGTAAACTTTTCTCATTAGTAGCGTGGTTAATAAAATATGTGAAATAGCAATTTGGGGGTTTATAAACTTAATTAATATGAGGACATGAAATTGTTGTGCTTATTTCTCTGTGTTTATAATTTAAATTTTTTTTTTTATTATGAACTATTTGTATAATATTTTTTTTTAATAAACATTATTTGAGAGTGTAAAGATTCTTTGCAGACTCCCTAAATTGATTACATTCTTCTCTATTTCAAAGAATCGATCGCTCAGTGATATAAACTGTTGTATATAAAATTATGGGACAATTAATCATAATGACGTCACTACTTAAGAATAAAACCAATTAATATAATATGTATATATGTTTAGTTTTGTTTATGCAGTAATCTGTAACCATGTTTAGTGAATTCAAATTAATGAAACTAAGCTATATATGTCTACCAGCCACAGGTGTGTTGTATGTAGTATTAAACCTTTCATGGTGTTGCAATTGAAAGCTTTTAGTAAAAAAAAAATATTTTCATGGGGGGATTAAGTGGGGTGGGGTTTAGTAACGAGGTATCATTTGCTGACCACAATTAAAATTTGAAAATCAGTAATGTTAAATGCCAGCTATTAGTTCATGTCAATAAAAAAAATCAAAATGAAATTAGTGAAAAAAAAAGAAAAAGCTGAAAGAATTGTGTTACTGTGAACAATCAAAACAATTTGACACTAGAGTTCACAAAATACTGAACATTTAAAAAATAAATAAAATAAAATCAAATGTTCAACATTCAGTGATGTAAATGCTCAGTGACATAAATTTGGTTACAAATTAAATATCTTGTAATTTATATTGTAATAACATACACCTGTTGAACAATTTATTCTTCAATTTATTTTTCTACCAGTTGCGGATACCATATTTTAAATTGATTCATTCATGATTAAATCATGTTTACAAACACTTATGATTCCAGCTCTGACATAATTTCTTTTAATTTCCTGTGGGGATTAATAATATATATTAAAAAAATATTGTTGCTTTTATAAACTGAAAGAAGACAAGACTAAATGAAATGTGTACACTATTTATTGTTATGTTGTAAATATTTGCATGACTGACACTATGTAATAGAGGAATGAACCCATTTTTTCAATTTTTTGCTTCTTTGAAATGCAGTGGTTTATTATTTACATTACAGTATTTTGGGGAAGTATTCCTGGTCTGATCAATTATTTTTTTCTATGATGGGCAACAAGTTTGTAGACTAGACAGGTTGGTTCACCTTTTTGAATACTTTGTGCTGATCAGATCTGACACATGGACTGCCTCATTTATTTATAGTCTGTTAGTTTAGAATTTTTTCCATTGTTATTATATTCCAATAATTGACATTTATTTCTTTTTAAAATGAATAATATTTGTTTTTGGAACGTCTCTACAGAAACAGCATCTTATACATCATCATCATCATCATGTCCCTTAGTCCTTGGACCGTTGGGGTGCCACAGATGACATGAAAACTATCCTCTTCTGTTCCTCTCTGTTTCCTCTCTGTCTATAAATAGTGAACAAATAAACGTAAAAGCTTTGTATGTATCTTCTTCATATCAACAACAAATATGATTTTACATGCACGAATTTTACATCAATGCTGTCTTTATGGGTGTGAACAATGTTAGTAAATTTATTCAAAATTCGAGTGGATATTTTTCCAATACAAGATACAAAACCAGTCACTTTCTGCCGGGTGGGCTACTCATGTTTCAATGAGGAGAGTCAATGTTATCAATTGTACTTGGCTGTAGTTTTCCTGTTGGGAAGGTGGCCGATATTTGTTTTTAGCTTCCTCTGGTTTTTTTTGCTTTGTTCTTACTTCATTAAGAATTCTCTTCATACTTGTTATCCTTTGGCAGTCAAAAACCTGTGATGACTTGAAACTATCCATCACTTGTTGGATCTCCCTTTTTTTTTTTACAGAATTTTGCTCTTATTTAACCCACCAGTGGACTGTTCTGTCTTCTTGTTCATTATATTGAACAGCAGTTCTTGGAACATCTCACTAATGCCTTCTCCTGTAAGTGCAGATGTTTCAAAATATCTAAAAAAAAAATTTAAAAAAAAATTAATAAAAATAAATTAGGTCAAGTTGCTTTGTTTTTACATTTCCTGACAACTCCTGTTGTACCACATACAGATTAAATGTTAATTTTGGTGAGACTTTATAACTTAAACATGCACTGTAACATATTCACATTTTGCCCACGAACATGACAAAGTTTACCCGCATTTGTTGTTGTGAGCAAATGTCTTTCCATCCACTAGTGTTATTGCCCTTTTCTGCTGCAAGTCTATCTATGAAAGATAATGAAATATGCCATCGTTATACCAAGTTAACTCAAACATCATATAAATAACTTGTAGGTGTTGTACAAGATAGGCCGAAATATTTCTGAGAGTTCCATGTTCAGTCCTGCATTTCAGGCTACCTTGTCCTCCATTGGAACTTTTTAAATCAATGCTTGCCAATTTATGGTCCTTCAAATACATGAATGAAGAAAATTATAGAGCCTGCACTCTGAATATTTAAAATAACACAATGCTGGTCTTTCATATATTGTCTCTTTAGTATGGTTCTTTTATACAAAAGGTTGGAGACCTCTGGCTGGTGTTGCTAGTATCAAAGCATCATATCATGAAACCTGGACTTGTGAAAAGAATTAGTAAAGGATGGAGCATTGTGGCATTTCACCTTATGCAAAGGCGGTATAAACATGAAACCAATAGATCGGCTGCTGAAGTCACAAAAGACAAGCCAAGGCTAACTTTGCACCTGGAGATGTCACATCCATCCCTTGCACTTACTGTACAAGAATATTTTGTGCCAGAATCATTCTTATCCGCCATCTGCCCACCCTTAGACAGTAGCGATCCCATCACCAATCCGATGATTAAAATTAAATGGCCTTGATTGATTTCGAGAGATGAGCTAACACATAATTGAAACAACTAAATGAACAATATCTCTCATTATCGGCGCCCTGCCATCCCTCAGTGTTCAGCCATGTTGCATCCATTCTCAAAGTCCATTTCAACAAAAAATTTTAAAATATTTCAATTAAATAAGTCGATATTAATTTCTTAAAGAAATTTTTATGATAAAAATATTTTTTCTCCTCACAAGAAATGTTTAAAAAAAATTAATTAACAGTGAAATTCCTTTTAGATTTATTTTCCTCACATTTTAGATTCATTTTTCGGGTTGTCAACTTTATTTGCCGGTAAATGTAATATAAATAATGTTCATACAAAAATGAAAACTAAAAAATGCATGGAGGGCAGATAAATGATTTAAGGCTTATATAAGTCTGAAGAATAATTTCATTTAAAACTGGTACCTCAAGAAATTTATTATTGAAAGTGAAAGATATTATAATAATATCCCTAATATCTAGAACAAAGCTTTAAAAAGTCTACAATTGTTAAAGGTATGATCAAGAAAAGGACTTTCGCAATACAGATAATTTTTATGAAACAACACTTTGATTCTTTTGTTTGTTGTTACCTTGTTTCCAACTATAAAAATCCTAATATCTAGAACAAAGCTTTAAAAAGTCTACAATTGTTAAAGGTATGATCAAGAAAAGGACTTTCGCAATACAGATAATTTTTATGAAACAACACTTTGATTCTTTTGTTTGTTGTTACCTTGTTTCCAACTATAAAAATCACAGGCCTTGTGGTTGAGTATTTTGATATTTCCTTTAGCCAGTAGTCTAGGGATTCAAACGATGCACTGTTGGTGATATCATAGACAATAAAGATGCCATCTGTCTTTGGGTAGAGTTCATTTCTCACTTCAAAATATTCTGAACTGCCAGACAAGTCCCAGAGGTGAACTCTCACTGTAATAATTAAGGTGCATCCTAATTATAGATTGTTTCATGCAAGGCAAAATTTCATAGAATGACAAGGGTAATTATTTTTTTTTTGATACCGGTACTTACGTAGTTTTTAAATAAATTTTCAACTATTTTGAGTGAATACATTCCAAATAAATTTTACATTTTAATTGAAAACATAGGGCAATTTTAACCCAGTTTGTTATTTTAGCAGCGGGTGTGTTCTGATTGTATTATTTTATAAAGCTGGATGGCGTTGCACCTAATTCATCATGTGGCACTCTGTTTAGTCTTTGTGGATGACATAATCTACAAATACAAGGATAACTAGCACTTCTAAAATCAATTTCCTGAATACATTCTTGGAATTTTTTGCAACCACTTTATAAACTAATTCATCATGTGGCACTCTGTTTAGTCTTTGTGGATGACATAATCTACAAATACAAGGATAACTAGCACTTCTAAAATCAATTTCCTGAATACATTCTTGGAATTTTTTGCAACCACTTTATAAACTTTATAAAGTCTACCAAACTATAATTAGTTTTGATTATAATATATAAAATTAATACATTATTATACTAGAAATTAAGAAAATGGAATAAAATTGAGGATGAATCCTTGCATAAAGAGATGCAGCTGTACAAAATGCATCTGATATTATTTATTAAAAACTTACAGTCAATTCCATTGAGATGCTGAACTTTAAATCCATAATCTACCCCAACTGTTGCCTGGTAACCTGAATTGAACTGGAAAGTTGTACTGCTTTTTATAAGTATACTTTAACTTTTCAATAATTAAAAAAAAAAAATTAGATTGTGAAGGAAGCAAGAGAAATTATTGACAACACATGAAAAAACCAAAGCATACTTAGGGAATTTTTTCTCCTCTTTTTAAAGGGATTCTATTTGTTAATGTAGAAGTTAAAGCTAGTTTATTGTATTGATAGGAAATATTGTTTCATTATTTCTCAACAATAATTTAAACAAAATTAAAATGAGATACGACTTACGACTTACAAACCATAGCCATTGCACCTATATGAATATGTGTTGGTGATTGCAACCTACACACCCCCCACCCCCCACAAAGATTTTGGATAATTTGGGAGCAGATATGATTTCCTTTGAACATGATGTGACATAAACTCTCCTTGATTCATTTGTTTTACGGACAAAAAAGTTTTCCTACCTCAAATTTGCACCATTAAAAATTGAAGATGTAACTGTAAAATTTGTTTAAGTATGTTTGATTGAATTTTCTATGCAGTTGAATGAATCCCCTTGAAAGTGGCAAAAGATATCTTACTATCTACATATCTGTCATTGCACTTTATACTTTATTTTGATGCTTGTTGAATTGAAATGAATATTTATTGTATCCATGCTACTTCAGCGTGTATGAAGAACTAGCCTTCAAAACTTTTCCACACTCTTTCCTTTACATGCATATAAAACATAATTATTTTGCTATGGATTTATCCCCAGTTTTTATTAACCCTGAACTTTATCTACCGGTACATTTAAATTTTAGGGGAATAACTTTCCAGTTATATGAAGGCAACCTTTTTGTGCTGAGGGCCTAATGGAAATTTTTTTGGGTAGGAAGCATGATAATTTTTAAATAAATATTTTTGAAATGGGGCTTCGGAAATTCACTAAATTTCAATTTAAAATATAAGCTGTGGAATAATTTTTAATTTGATTTTATTATTGATACCGGGTCTTACAGCTGGAACATTTTACTCTGTGATTATTAATTTCCAAAGGCTTTTACAAAAAAATAATTTATAATTTATACATTTTATGAAAAAATCAACCCTGTCCTGGAAGATCTAGTGGGCTGCATTAAGCTTAAATGTTTGTGACCTTTGGGCTGTAAGTTGCCTATTCCTGTGTTATATGGTAAAAACAATTACCTTGCTGTCACAGAAATGCTTTATTAAACATGTCTTTCCTGTACCAGAACTGCCTATACAGATTAACTGAAATTTAGATTAATATTATTAATCATTATAATTGAGAAAGTTAATATTAATTATTGGCATGATTCGATTTCATACTTACAGTGCTCAAAAAGCAATGATGGAAGGAATGTATTATTACATNAGGCAACCTTTTTGTGCTGAGGGCCTAATGGAAATTTTTTTGGGTAGGAAGCATGATAATTTTTAAATAAATATTTTTGAAATGGGGCTTCGGAAATTCACTAAATTTCAATTTAAAATATAAGCTGTGGAATAATTTTTAATTTGATTTTATTATTGATACCGGGTCTTACAGCTGGAACATTTTACTCTGTGATTATTAATTTCCAAAGGCTTTTACAAAAAAATAATTTATAATTTATACATTTTATGAAAAAATCAACCCTGTCCTGGAAGATCTAGTGGGCTGCATTAAGCTTAAATGTTTGTGACCTTTGGGCTGTAAGTTGCCTATTCCTGTGTTATATGGTAAAAACAATTACCTTGCTGTCACAGAAATGCTTTATTAAACATGTCTTTCCTGTACCAGAACTGCCTATACAGATTAACTGAAATTTAGATTAATATTATTAATCATTATAATTGAGAAAGTTAATATTAATTATTGGCATGATTCGATTTCATACTTACAGTGCTCAAAAAGCAATGATGGAAGGAATGTATTATTACATTAAATATTGCTATTACAAGAACAAAGTGTTTGTATTTTTATGCTTTTATTATTTATCTTAATATCATGATTAAACATCAAAATTATTATACAGTAGAACCCGGTTATGTCGTCGGCCTTGGGGTTGGCCAAAAAGCTTTGAGATAACCGATGATCCAGATAAATGAGCATTAATAAATGTAAGTACGGTACTTCAGTAAAAAAAAAATTAAAAAAAAATAAATATTACAGTTATTTAAATTATTTAGAGCAATTTTTAAATTAAAAAATGAAATCAGAATCAACTTTTTAGCTTTAGTACTTTTTGAGCTACGAATTTTTAACATGCAAGTTCCTTTGGTATTTTCTACTATGACAAAGCCTCCACATTTTGTGAACTCATTCTGCTAACTGCATCATGTGCAATGACTATGTAGTTTATATAAGTATAAGGCAAAGCATCCCCTCATTACTCAAATACTATTTAGGGATTACTTATTTTGAACTTTCAACTTTGGCACGTGACTATTTAATTAATGCTTTCCCTGACCAATGGTTTAATAGTTTTTGCACATGGCAAACTCTTATGAGTGAAACTCTAAGGCAGTACTACACATAGCCATTTTGCAAGTGACCGTGAATGGCTGCCAATGACAACGTTTTGCACTCGGCAAATTATCATCATTTACAATATGGACTCTACCGGGTTTTTAAACCTCAAACTAAAACATATTCATTTAAATTAATTCTAGGTTCATTCTTAAACACAAGTCCTGTATTTTGAGAAATAAATAATTATTTTTAATTATGCAAAACTTGTTTATTTGTTGTTTGCTATTTCTTCTTGCGACTAAAACATATTCATTTAAATTAATTCTAGGTTCATTCTTAAACACAAGTCCTGTATTTTGAGAAATAAATAATTATTTTTAATTATGCAAAACTTGTTTATTTGTTGTTTGCTATTTCTTCTTGCGAAGTTCAAAAGCTGGCAATTGGTCTTGGGGATTGTTATTACTAAGGTCAAGTGGCAAATATGCCTCCCTTTTGTGCTCGAGATATTAGGACTCTGCAACATAAAAGAATCGACATAACCGAGCCGAAAATGCAAAGACAAAGAGTAGAGAGAATTTGGCGGTTCCAAGTCAAAAGCGTTGACTTAACTGGGTCGGCAAGTTAACCCAGGTCGAGATAAGTGGGTTTGACTGTATTATAATTATGGGTGGTAAAGTAATAATGTTAATAATAATAATAGGATAATAATTTTTAAATAAAAATTTCATGTATAATGTTTACATTTTATATGATAATCAGCTAAAAAATGATTATTTATTATTTTAAATAACATTATTAATATTTTAAAATATTTATAATTTATAGTTATAGGCCTACTTACACATTACTAATTTATTATACAGACTCCGCCTACTAGCCTACTACTACTTCTTACTACTTAGACTAGGCTACAAACAATAATTAATAGTTAATAGCTTTAACTTTAATTGTCTTTAATAACATAAATAATAACATGACTATGACTAAAGGCCCAGACACGCATAGCCTCTATTCGGACCCGGGTCCCTTTAGACTCGATGCCAAATTTTGTCTTACAAACCAACAATTATATTTTTAATATTTTTTTTTTGAATCCTAGCCTCTCACTTCTGGGGCCTGGATCCCCATCGTATGCTAAATGACACTAGTAATGCTCTTGTGGAATAGAAACAATTAATTAAGTAATTAAAATAAAAATTGCGAAATAATTTTTAATTTGTACTTTGATTGTTTCAACATGGCCTCTAAAGACGACAACGCTTGTCTTTCAGATCCTAGTCCATTAGAAAACGCTTGTGTACTAGAAGGAGCACCTCAAAACGTAGACCCTGAGCTAGATGCTATTCTGGAAAGTTAGTGTTCATAGATTTCTTGTTGTACACAAGTTTTTGATGTTCTAATGGGGAAAGTTTCTCTATACTATGATATCATTGTGCTGACAAGTCTCCTTGCCTTGACGCCTTGACTGCCTTGACTTGAGAATTGAGTTTGCATAAGCATAAACTTAAATAATAAATGTATTTTCATTTGCATTCTTTTGCATTTTATTTTAAATGAATGATGAAGTTACCCTTTTCATCATATTAATATTTGACTAATTTTTCATCCTAATTTGTTCTTTTATTTGAAAAATATGATTTCTAATTGTACCAGTAGTTACCTAATTATAATTAAATTAATAATTATAACGAAGCGGATGCGTACACCGCAGCGGTGTACCTAGCGAAATCGTGGGCTTTGGCCTGGGTACACCGCGGCAAAAATGTACCATTCGCCTGGCTTTAACTTTAAGATATGCCTGTAAGAGAAAATCTTGTGTGGTCAAGTGGTTGAGTGCACGCCTGGCGATAAATATTATAGTTTTAGATCAATTCCCAGTAGCGGATCGAGTTTTGTTTTTCTTCCCATTTTTATAAAAGATATTTTATATTTAAATTATCATGTTAATTTGCAACAGTAGTTTCATGAGAAGTTTTTGTGAAATATTTTTTAGCAATTTAAATATATGTTATATTCAGTATTTAGATTATTAAGTGTTTCAACAAGTTGTGCCGGCCTTTGACTTTTAAAATACTGTAATATTGTTAGTAATAAGACATTAGAAAACAAACTGAACAGTTCTGAAAGCGTATGTATAGTGTACGTAACATGTATAAGTATAAGAGAAACATTTTGAATACTAAGAGATATTTTATTGCATTTCATCATTCTTTGTGTAGTTGAATATTTAGATTTTACTTTTACGAACACCCGAAGAAAATACCAGTATATCAATAATATCATATGTCATATGTATACTAATGTGCATCGTTGTATTTCAACCATCTTGCTTTCACTATGCATTGGCAAAATGTGCACACGATATCAACAGTTCATTCACAAACCTCAGGCTCACAGCAAATCTTTTGAAAAAAAAGAAGATTTTAGAAACTTACAGCGTGGTAGCAAACTGTATAGCAAAGTCATAGGTCTGCGTTTACCCTGTTCATGACGGAATTTGTTTCCAGGATGACATGTACTATTCTCAGGGTAAAACACAACGTTTTCTCATGGACATGTGCATGGGACAGGATTTGCGCTATTTCAAAGTTTTTTATTGGTTGTTTTTTGTTAAGAAATTGATCCTTGGTGGGGGTGGAGGTAAGTTATGGGCAGAGGCTAAACCAAAAAGGGGGCCTACTCAAATCACGACTCTGGATAGGGGTTGTCCACAAAGGACATCCGCACAACAAACTTACCCGGAAAAGGGGGGGGGGGGGGGGGGGGGTGCTGATATCCGCCGACACTTTTTACTAATGTGTAATGCCAATGTAAAACTAATTCAATGATATTTAATTATTGTTAAAAGACTTTTAAAAATCACTGCAGTGTTTCATATTGATCATCATACTGTCTACTGTTGTTTTGTGTTGACAATCACTTGATATCACAATGACAATGCCTCGGACAACTTTAACTTCACAACTTCATGATCTCTTCCCGTAACTGCCGTAGTGTATTTTTGGCGTAATTATATCTTGGTGCTAACAAAATTGATACACTGGCTTCCCATTCATTTTTACACCACGCCCGAGGGATCACATACAATTTTATAATTATAATACCCTCCTCCCCCCCCCCCCCCCCCCAGGGGGGGGGGGGGGAAAAAAATTTAAAATTAGCTCCTTAGCTATGCCTATTAAGATTCACAATCATAGGATAAAACTTACCCAATTAATAAATATATTTGTATTTCATTATATTGGGGGAAATAAAGTAAAGTGGTTAACTTTAAAATAAATCATGGTTTAACATTACACCCCCAGCCAAATAAATAATAAGAAATGCTCTACAAGTACTTTGCCACATAAATATAAGCGTGGAACTTTCACAATATTATCCTCCCAAGGTACTAAACGATTTTTAAATAAATAGTTTTCAGTTTTAACAAGAGTATAACATTAAATCTACAAATACAGGTTAGGCCAAAAAGTTTAAGAATCGGAAAGACCATGGTTATTCTACTTTAAATCGCTGCGGTGTATGCAGGCCACAGACAATGATTTAGCTAGGTACACCGCCGTGGTGTACGCAGGCCAAAGTCAATAGTTTTGCTAGGTACACCGCCGCGGTGTACGTAGTGCCGGACTAATTATAATGAATAATGACACACAAGGTATAGTTCATGTAGCCCATGTAGGCCTAATATTTAGTTAGTTTAATTATCAAATAAGTTAATTATTAATAAATAAGTAATTACTAATTAGCCTTATAATTTAAAAAATGAAATGAATGTCTCGGTTTCATACTCATCTATTAGAGACTATATAAACTATATTTATAGTCATAGACTATACCTTTGAATGAATCAAATTTGAATCACCTAGAAGTGGGTCCTCAATATTAATATTCATCCATGGCATTATTCTTTGTTTCTTATTTTTATATTCATCCTGTTTTTTTTTAAAATAGAAATTTTTGTTGTCTGTTGGCAAGAAAATTTGATACTTGTCCCACCTGTCTGTGAGTTAATAAAAATCTCAGGCAGTGATTCAAAATACTAATTTATTTCTTTTTAATATTTATGATGCAGCTATTTTTTAAGAATATGTGACCATGGCGTTCTGGAGCTAGAGATTTGTTTGTTTTTGCATTTAATTGTAGAAATTTAAAAAAAATTGGGGTTAATTTTAGAGTTTAGTCCCTGTTTATTTTTGTAAATTTACCACTTACGCTTCTATGTTTATTTGCTATAATTTTAATGGTTTGGAAGGTGGGGTGGAAGGTGGGGAGGGGAGAACGGGTTTCTCAAATGAAGGTAAATTTCTGGTTAAAATTTTATTTATGTTGGCCTACAGTATATTTCAGGCATCACAATGAGTTCATTTAAATATCTGTTACAACGATCAAGTTATAATAAAGCATTTTCATAATTAATCACAAGTCATGACAAGTGGTTTATACATAGTTAAAATATATTGGATGATTTCCGGGATTGAATTCAAGTGAAAATATATTTTGTTAATAATGAATTGTTAAGTAAAATTTTGGCCTGGGAATGGATTAATTTAATTTAGTTAATCCCTTTCAATCAAATAGACATGTTGCCCGCAAGAAGTTGACTGGTGATAAAAATGGCCAGTGAAGCTGTTTGGGTTGGCCACCACTGCTATAAAGTTTAAAAAATTAAGAGCTATAAATTTAGTTTAAGAGGAAACTGAGCGACCAAGATGACTGAATAAAAAAGCCTCTCAAAATAGGAAAATGGTCAATTTAAAATTGTATTTTTTTTAACACAATATATAGGCAAATATGTTAAGTATTTTAAAATAAGTTCTTAAGCAATAAATATAGGTATACTTAAAAAAAAATCATAATGTGTAGAATTTAAAAAAGTGTTTTTGTAAACATAAGTGCCTCAAAAATGTTTACAACTCAAACATTAACTAAATTTAGCATTAATATCATAATATAAATACAAAATCAGTTCACTTTAAGAGTATTAAGTATTGCTACATTTGTTACAATCAAATTATTATAAATGTATAAATTATTCTTTTTCAGGTGCATTGGCAGATTTTGATAAACCCAAAGAAGCTGCCCAAAAACAACCATTAGCTGCAGGTGAAGCAGAAACGGACTGTAGTGGGAAAAGGTCACAACCTCAAGGTGCTCAATTGCCTGTAAGCAGATATTAGAACCTTCTCATACTTTCTTGATGATAATGTAGCGAATTACAGCAAATGACAGAAGTTTTAGAGATCTTATGTTGGAAAAGTTTGGGGGTCTGAACACCCATGACCCATCAGCAGGGTTGCCAACTCAATAAGATGAAATTTATGTCGTCAAAATTTGTATGAGTAGAAATTTTTTACCAAATATTTTTTAATATAAATTTGTTAAAACCATAGAGCTAAAAACAAGTGGTATTTTTTGCACAACTATGTCTTTTTCAAGTATATAACTATGTGTGTCAAATGAAAAAAAAAGTTTCAAGCAAACAAGAAGAAATCACAAACGGTGAGAATTCCAGTTTTGTTTAGTTCAAAAGCCTTTAGAACAATTTCTTAAAGACTTTTACAGACAATACATATAAGGTTAGATTTTTATGGACTATCCAAAAAATTTTCAGACAGTTGGCAACTGTACCCACCAGCCTCATCTATTCAGCCAACCTTTGATATCACCAAATTCAGATGTATAAATTCATGTCAAGTAAATAAAAATAATTTTCTAAACTACCACAGTTGTGAACAATCCATGGCTCTACTACTAGATGTGGCTCATCCCACTAGATGTGGCTCTTTGAATGAATAGATCCAGCTATATTTTTTTTTTACTAATCTACAATGATATTTTAACAATCCGCCCTTGTCTGCGGATCCCAAATAATGTTCTTGACTTAGAAAATATACAGTTCATAATTTTTGTTTGGAAAAATATGAATTTTCCTTTAATTTGTCATTATAATGAATTAGAAAGAAATTAAACTACAGAATAAACAAAATGTCATTATTTTCATAGTTTTTTTTTATAGCTCATCTCAGAGCTTTATTTTGTCAAAGTTTCACATTAGCCTTTTGATTTTTACAAACCTTACATCTTGGCTTGTTGTTTCAGGAGGATGGCTTACCAGAAGACCCGAGCTATGATTTTTTAGCTGATGCTATGAGCAAACAGTTTGAGGACACTTTCAGTGCATTATTAAGTGATCCTGCTTTAAAACAACAATTTGCAGATCTGGCAAACTCAGCAGAACAAGCTGGTAAAATTAACATCTGTTTGGTTCCATTGAAATGGAAAAATATCTCTTCAGTATCAGCATTTACAATTTTTAAAAATTGACCCTAACATTTTGGTACTTGTTTTTAGATTTATCATAATTATATCTTCTCCACTTCTTCTTTGAGGTTCTTAAAATACAGTACAATGTAGTGTAGGGTCATTTGCTGCAATAAACCAGTGATGCTTAGTATCATGTATAGTTCTAATACATTATTTTTGTCATCTATACAAGAAGACGAATTTTCCATTTTTATTTTTATTTTCCAACTATTTCCATTAAAAAAACTAGAAATGTTCTTATCAATTTGACCATGCTATAAGGAACAGTTGAAACTTAAACTTTATGAATGTAAACAAAAAAAAACTATGATCACTGTAAAATGGTATTTCAACAATCTATAAGCTACAATTTCAACAAATGGTCTGCCAACACCCTCCATCCCTCCCTTCAACCTGGTATTAACATCCCTGATTCATAATAAATGTTATTGTTCAGAGCAGTACTTGTTACTACATATTCATTATTCATTAATTTATCCTATTTTAAAAAAAATGAAATAAATTTTTGAGATTTTATTGGAGATGATGATGTAAATTATTATTTTTTTTCCTCATGCATTTAAAAAAAGGGGTAAGTTTGTTTAAAAAATATTTTTTTCCCCATTCCTATCAGCTTCAAGCAATAATCCACAAGCATTTGCTGAAACTGTGGAGAAAGCACTCAGTGGTTTGAATCTAAATGCAGAAAGTTTGCAGGTGATTTATCATTGAAGTTTATTACAAAATTTAAATTTATTCATTTACATTGGAAGGAGATTGGCCGAGCACAGGAGGTCAATGGCCTTAACACTTTTCATTTCAAATGTCAAAGTATAATTTCCGGTGGTGTTTTGTTATTACTATGGTTGTGTTTGTTGGATGAGACGGGTGCGTAGCAGTTTTTAAAAATAATGTAATAAATGTAACTAAACACTTTGCAGCTATTAAAATAGTGGTAACATTTTCAGGGTGATCCTAATCAACAAGAATTATGGGAACAACTTGCAGAGACTCTTGGGGCAGAAGCCAGTGGAGGAGGAGCAGAAGAAGGATTGGGTGCAATGAGTGGAATGTTCCAGAACATGGTTAAACAGTTGCTCTCTAAGGAGCTCTTGTACCAGCCTCTGAAAGAGGTTTTACAAAAGGTGAGCACTTTTCAAAAGCGCACCTTTTCATTTCACATGTTTTACCACTTGCTCGTCCAGCATTTTCAGTCAAAAACCTTCTTAAACCTATATCCCAATCAAAGAATACTGCTTCATCCCATCCTGGGATATTGGATGTAATGATAGGGATTAAAAGTGGGATCAGGGTGCTTTAATTTTAAGAAGCGCTGCCTTTACATGTTCACACTAGTTGACTGCATGAGAATGATGATGTTTAACTTAGTGGTTCCAATAAAAATACATTTGTTTATTTCTCTCTTTATCCTGTTATGAAGCAGGCTAAATTTGTTTTGCTCTTTGTATTTCTCTATTTATCCTGTTAGGAAGCAGGTTAAATTTTTTTTGCTCTTTGGTCCCAGTATACAGAATACCTTGAAGAAAAAAAGACTGTGTTGGAACCAGAGAAACTTCTCGTATACCGCAAACAGCTGGAGATCATAGAGAAGGTTGTAGAACATTTAGATGGAGATTCAGATGACCATAGCCTGGAAGAAAAAAATGCACGCTTTGAAGTTCTTCTTGATTTGTTACAGCGGGTAAGCAGTATTTTGTTTCAGCGGGCATGTAGTTATTTGTACAGCTGACAAATAGTAGTTAAAGTAGGCAAATAGTAGTTTTATACAATGGGCACATAGTAATTTGTTACAGCGGGAAAGTCGTAGTTTGTTCAGCATGCAAATAGTAGTAGTTATTGTAGGCAAATAGTAGTTCATTACAGCTGGCAAATAATAGTTTGATACAGTGGGCATGTAGTAGTTTGTTCAGCTGGTTAGAGGTAGTTTTAAAATGCTTAAGTAATACAACCCTGACATTTGAGTTCAAATATAAGAAAAATTCAATTACCAATACCTAGATAAAAATTAAGGTTCCAAAAATATAAAATTTACATAATTTAGTGTGATGGCAGTCAGCAGTTTCTCTTAATTGTTTTACACATATCATTAAAAAATTAGTCGTTGATTACTTTAACAGATGCATGAGTTGGGGAATCCACCTCAGGAAGTTGTAGGCGATGGCAACATGATGATGCCAAGTTTTGGAGATTTCGGCAACATGGGACAGGTAAAACTGACAGTAATTTAATTGAAATATTAATATATAAATCTGTTGGTGCAAACCTTAAAACGCTGTCGATGCAATCTTTTTTATCTTCGGTGCAATCCTTTAAATGTCATTCAATTTATTTTCAGTACAATGCATAAATAACACTAGTTATCTTCGATGCAATGCATTAAAAGCTGTTCTACTTAAGTTCAGTAAAATCTGTTAAGTGCTCTTTTAGACATCTTTGCTATCCCATAAAAGCTGTTCAAGTTATTTTCTGTAATGCTTGTTAAATACTCTTTTAGCTATATTCAGTGCAGTTCTGAAATAATTACAAGAAAAACTGCATCCAGCAGTGAGTGGATTTATAAAATTGTTGTGCTTGCATAGTAAGATTTGATGGAATCAAGTGAAGTGCATGTTGGCATAAAAAATTCTTCCCATAAGTTTTGAGACATTTACAGACCTGTTTACTCTTACGATTTTGGCGTACAATGTATGATTTTGAGGTGAATACTTTGTATATACCGTATGTTTTTTTTTTTTACTATTAAGATAATGTATTGAACGATCTTGTGATGATATTGTACGATTTTATAGTTTGAGGGTAAGCAGGTCTGCATTTAACTCTTAATAAGATGAATTTTTAACTTTTGCACTGAACATTTAGGATATTAAAATAACCAAAACAGTGTCAGATGTCCTTAGTCACCCTGGAATTAAATAGATGTAAAAAATATTATGTATCAGAAAAAAATTAAAGCTAATTTGAAAATGAAAGGGGAAAAAGAATCAATAGGACATATTAATTGTATTATCTAAAATGATCAAATAACCTATTAAATTGTACAAAATTCCAATTATAGGACAGTTTGTATCTTAGTTAAATCTTAGTTTTTCTAGAAACACTTATCACAATAATGTGGATTAATTATGAATTAAGTTTTATTCTCTAGTTGATTTAGTGAGTCTATAAAAATAATGTACACATTCCAATTAATTTTCTTATGTTCACCAATTTGTTGTTTGTTGACATTTTGATATGTAAGGATTAAGAATTTCAAAATTTAAAAAAATAAATAAATATTTTGTTGTACATTTCCCTCAGCTCCCCAATCTGGGCAGCCTAGGCAGTGCTCAGGATCCATCCCAGTGTTCAGTCATGTGATCAGACGCGGCGCTGAATATTTATATGTGAATGAAGAGCAGAAACACATAGCAAGATATGAGAACAGCATCCCATTTGTTAAACAAAATCACAGCATGGCCCATTCATTGCAAAGAGCACTGCAGGCTGACGCACCGGAGAGCAGGAAAGTAGGATTTCCTGCTGGTGGTTTTTTAAAGTCATAAAACAATAAGAGTAAAAGTGTTCATACCATTTCTGTGAGTAAGTAGAAATTTGCTCTGTACACTAAAAATCAGCTGCTCAAATCTGGCCCTTGCAGGTTTTTAAAATAAAAACCTTTGCAGATAGATTTGATTAAATAATGAGAAAATACCCCCCCCCCCTCTGCATTTAAGAGTCAAGGGCCCTCAACAAGATATTCATAGTCAAAAAGATACCTTTGACCTATACATTTCTGTGAGTAAGTAGAAATTTGCTCTGTACACTAAAAATAAGCTGCTCAAATCTGGCCCTTGCAGGTTTTTAAAATAAAAACCTTTGCAGATAGATTTGATTAAATAATGAGAAAATACCCCCCCCCCCCTCTGCATTTAAGAGTCAAGGGCCCTCAACAAGATATTCATAGTCAAAAAGATACCTTTGACCTATGTCTTTGTATAATCCAGTAAAACCTGTACTGGTATGTTGTTTTATGGTTTTAGTGCAGAACATTGAAAGGTCATTGGCCTTCACAAAATCCAGTTCAAGTTTCATCTCTACTAATGAAGCAGAAATCCCTCCTGATATGAGATGCAGCATCATATCAGAGTGAAAGCTAGTTAAAGCTAATTATATATTACTTGATTTATAAGGAAGCTCCCCCTTTTTTTTTATTATTGTCCAAATTTTGTATTGCTGATTGAGTCTAATTTTTTGTTGCAAGGCGTTACATTGCGATTTATGTATGAGATGGACTGATTTTAAATAATTTTTAAGTCTTTTGATTATTTTCCACAACAATGTATTGTTTTTTTAAGATGCTATGAATTTTTTTCTGGATTGACCAGTCTAGGCTAGTCATCAGGTTGACTATTTTGGTGATTAATTTTAATTTTTAATTTTAAGGAATTATACATAAAATGTCACACCTAACTCATCATTTTGTTGTTGAAAGAATTATTCACTAAACAAACAAACTGATAATAGGAGGCACACACATATTTCTCCAATGACACATTTCTATTATCAAATATGTCTTAAAAAAATAATTTCTTTTACTTTTGCACTTAAAGGCAACTATCCTACTACATCTTTCTCATTTTTCTCTTCTCAAAATATGTGGGTTTTATTTTTTGATTCACTCTTAACCTGTAGTGTTTTTTTTTCTACTTTTAAATTTAACCAAGCCCGAAACACAATTTTTGTGTCCATATAGTTTGTCTAAGACATCCATTTAACAAAGCTTAAAGTAAGTTTAAGCTTTGTTAATGCGATAGCTGTCGATTTGTTTGGTCTACTGGTAGCTTTAACTCAGTTTTGCAACTTAGAAGTCAACATCTGAACTAACGACATGGTACCTTTTTTTTTTAAAAGCTTTTTTATTACTAATTACATTTCACAGGATTAGTTTTTGGTTGTTTGTAATATTGTTTGTTGTTTCCTAAAATTCCGATCTCAGTAGATTTTTAAAATATGCAACCCTTAATGATGGAGACCACTTGTGCAAATAATTTAACAGATCTATATTTCATTTGAATTTAATTTTTTCTGTCCTACTTTAAGGTAATTTTTTATACTTGTGGGAGTAAAATTTGGTTATCCTCTTGGCGATTTTCTTTGCTCTGGATGTTGATAACTGTATTATCTTAATAATAACTTAAAAAAATAAAAACCAGTTACTAGTTTTAATGTATTATGATAAAGATTTTGTCCTTATAAAGGACACATTTCTTACTTTAGCTGTTAGGATCAATGTCTTTGCTTCATAATGTTTGAAACTGCTATTACTGCTGTGTGTTTTAAAGTTGTGAAATTATACAAAAAAATTAAAACTTTAAGTTTTGGATTGAAATTTTCCGTTTCTTAAACTGAGTTTAATATGTGATAAATGTTTCCTATTAAAATGATTGTAGCAGAGTAGAATGTTGTTAAAACAAAATTAAACAAATCAATGGAGAAATGTTATCAGCCAATGCAGAAAACATAGAAAAAGTGAAATAGAATGTTCATATATAATTTATATTAATTAAGTGCTTAATGTTGATGAACTCTGGACTTTGTCCAAAAATGAATTGAAAAGTTAACTTTTATCAGTAATAACAGCATGAATGTTTTTTTTTTTTTTTTGTTGCCGATTATTTAATTTTTTTGCTGTGGCAAGTGAGACGAATATTTGTTAACCAATGTTATCAGGTGCAGTGCTTTCATTTTAAGTGTTCTTACTGAGCTGGGCTAAATGGATATGGAAGGTCTGTAAATACGTGAATGGTTGTTACAAAATTAGTTTTAAATTAGGGAGTCAAGTATATTGCTGATGTATTGCATGGGTGCTATTGCTGTGTAATTGTACTTAGAATTCAGCAGTGTGTGTATATGTAACTAAGCAGTGTTACCCACCCTTGGATTGTTGAATGCTGAACGATAACGAGGTGTCCCGTGGAGGACCACCAAGTTAATCTTTAAATTATTTTTATTGTTATTTTTATACCTGTCCATGCCTGTGAATTTCTGGTCGTCTGGGAAATGTTGCCAAACACTTGGAAGATATGTTGCAATGCTGTTGTTAAAAGGGAATGCATAGAGGAAGAGTATAAATCAGAAATACCCAAAAAGTGAACATTGGTTTGAAATATGCGCCATGGCTGTTGATGCAAAGATAAAGTGCATGATGGTGATGTACGTTACATGGTAACTGAAGTGTATGAATTTTTGAAGATGCTACACAAAAGCTACCTTGCATTTATTCATAAATTTTTTTTTATATATATAAAGAAGAATGCATGTTATTTAGAACTGATTTGTGTGCGTCATGCCACTGATTTGATTTGGCTTTAGTTCAGAAGTGTGTGATTTAGATTTGTGTGTTTTGATTAGCTAAACTGGCTTGACAAGATGTGATATTATCACAAGTGAAACAAGTTTATATTTAATACAAGAGGTTAAGTATACTACTGGTACATTACAAAGGGGCTTAGTGAATATTTTCAAGACAAATTGAGAACGTGTGATTGATGATTATTGTCCAAAGGATTTTTTATTTTCCATGTTTAAATTATTTTTTGGAACTATTTTTAAATTAAATGGAAAAAAGAAATACAAATTTCAACATCGCTACATTTCTTTAAAAAGATTTTTTTTTTGTAGTTTCCTAATTTATTCTTGATCAGCATGCCTTCTGAAGAAAAAACAAAAAACTTCAAACCATTAACAATTTAGATTTTAACATTCAGGAAACTTTTTTTGTGTCAGATAAATTATGGTGGCCACAATGATGTTACCATAAGTTGAATAAATATATACAAATAGTACAGTACAAAAAAAAACGTTACTATTTAAAATTGAATATTGACAATGAAATATAAATAACCAAGCAATCGGAGAAGCAACAGTTTATTTAAGTAATCAGCTTCCTTCAGTCTGATCCCTAGCGTCCTTTTATTTACATTCCTTGCCTTCCAAATCAAATCTTCATTACTTGTCCTTCATAAGGGTACAAGTACATGCAGTCCATGAAATCCAGACCACCAGAATAGACACTCCTCAAAGGCACAGACGTTATTTGTGTAAATTCTTGTTAAGTCAAATCAGGGGTTAGAATATGAATAATTATTATTATTAAGACAGCACATCTCACAGCAGCCATAAGAAAAATTCATGCTTGTTTGGGTACAGCAATGCCAGCCATTGATATATTAGAGCTTAGTGTTGCTATACATACTTAACTGAGTTTTATGTTCAGTCTATACAAGAGAGATTAAATCATACAATTATTTCAGAAAAGCAAATCTGTAATCAATCAATAATTTCTTTTGTCATAAAAAAAACCAAGCACACCAATATTTAAAGCCATGCAACATGACTAAAAAATAATATTGATTTAACATGGTCATGACCCAATACAAGGGATACTTTGGTTTGCCAGTGATTTCTTTGGTATTATGGCATGGTAACAAAGTTGAACTGCTAGAAAGGGAACCAGTTCCTAATCCTGTAAACTGCATAAAAAATTGATTGATTTGTAGGTAATAATTATGACGCTAAAAACAATACATGTAAAGTAATAATAGTTATAATTTAAAATCACAATTTGTAAAGTACAATTTAAATTTAAAAAAAAAAAAAAAAAAAAAAATTGATTGATTTGTAGGTAATAATTATGACGCTAAAAACAATACATGTAAAGTAATAATAGTTATAATTTAAAATCACAATTTGTAAAGTAAAATTTAAATTTAAAAAAAAAAAAAAAGAGGGTATTCCTTAGTGCATACAGTAAGTTCCTAATTTATTTAGCTTTGTAAAGATTTGTGAAAAAAAAACGCTTAAAGAATCGATTACAAGTTTTTTTTCCTTTAGAATGAATTGCATCAGATTGCGCATATCTTTTAAGCTAAATTCTACCCGATTTATTTTGTTACATATAAATTATTAAACATCAAAACTCAGGATGTGTCTCTGACTATAAATTTAAATTCAGAACATTGTTTCCAATTTGCTACACAAAAAAATTTTTTAAACAAATTGCACATGAAGCTTGGCTTAATGCACAGAAAATGACAATCACAGTTATTCACCATTGGAACAAATACAAAACATTCACACTAAACTGACGTTAAATAAGCTCAAATATGGAACTTGAATATTTGGATGGCTCTGAAATCCCCAAATTACCTCCCATTACAGGATGACACAGCATTCAAACCAGAAGCAATTTACAACATTTTGAACCTTTTATTCCATGATTATGTGAATTGATTATGCTCCCAGATATTTTTAAGTTACATTGTTCTTTGACAATTATTACAAAATGAAAAATATTTTTTCTGCTTCACTGTACACAGTACATCGATATTTTATTTTGAGCTCAAAATGTATGCACATATGCAAAGTCATGAGGTACATCTAAATTTTTCTTAGCTATAGATGAAATGATCTGTGGGTTCAATAACAGGAATTCAAAGCTGGAGGAAATCTAGGTAGTCAAGACTTAGAATTTCATCTTGTCAACAGAATAATAATAAAAAAAAAATAAGGCTGCATAACATAACCATAAGAAGAAAGCAAGCATACATTTTTTTTTTTAGAATCTATTAGCAGACAACATTTGAGGGGGACAGGGTCTAGAGAATGACATTTGACACTTCCAAGTGAGAAAATGAACAGCTATCACTGCTTTAATATATTTATAGGTAATTTTGTAAGGATTATTATTGACCCAAATATCAGTTTACATTCAATTAAATTTACATTTGACAGTTGATTAAAAATTAACAGAAATGTAAATTAAAGAGAAGTATTTTTTACTATCCTTGGATACCTATCAAAACAATGACATTTCAACATAACATGGCAAGCATCATTTCAATTTAGGCTCAGGTTACGATTTATTCTTCACTGTCATGATATTTTTAATACAACTTTTTAAAATGATAAATCCAAATTGGCTGCTTCCTAAAATCATAAAATAAAATGATTTGGTTGATGCTGAAATAAAGGACTATTATGCTTGTTGGTATCATGCATCCTCATTGCTGAGCGTGAAAAATTCTTTCCACTGCAAAGCTGCTAGTACTGCTAGCACTTTCAACTTTAATATAAAGTCTGATAGAATTCATACGTTCAGCTGAGCCAACAAACCCGGAGACAAACCCGTAACACGAGACCTTCATTTTTTTTTTAATAGCACACACACACACCCCCACCCCTCCCCCCCCCCCCCCCCCCCCCCCCNACTGAAATGTTGGAAAAGATATTATGTACAAATATGTGGTTAATATTTCATGTTTCTTTGAACAGAACAATTTAAAAAAAGAAATAAAATATGCATCAGACACAAGACAATTGTTAGATGTGATTTGTATGCATTTGAGAGGGAACAAAGCCTGAAATATACTTTAAAAAAAATTGTTTTCAATGTTTAAATTCTCTTCTTTTAGATTTCTTAAATATTTAAAGAAATTAACAATGTAACATATTTTCTGTAATATTATATACAGACAAATTTGCATTTGTAAATACATAGGTCTACTTCAAGAAACCTGCAAAAGAGAAACCAATAACAGATTGCTGCATTCTTAATAAATCTAAATTTAGACAATTTGATTTTGAAAAATGCAATTTCTTAAGAGAAAGAAATATGTGGTAAACATACCACACAAAAAAAAAAACACCAACATTTGTTAAATATATAAATGCCATTACTAGCAGTCCATTAAACAAGCAAAATATTCACATACCTGAATTCATTGACTTATTCGGCTTAAAATTGTTGATTATTTGGTTATTTTATTGGTGGCTTAAAATCTGCAACAATGACAAAAAACTCATCTGCTAAGCCAACGACATCAAAAATGTAAAAAATCCAATTTTAGGTGGTTATTATTAAGAAAAATGACTTTAGTCTAACTGCACTTATGGTAACATAATCTTTATTATAATATCTTTATATTTACCATCCTAGACCAAGAGAAAATGTTAAAATTTCCTTATGATAAATGTATTTTAAAAAAAAAGAACTCTACCCAATTGAATTGCAAATGTTGTCATTGCTAAAAAATATTTTATTCATAAATGTACACAATTTTAATATTATTTTTGTCTTCTTTTTCTCATTAGGAATAACTTAGTTGTTTGCCTTTAAAATCATGATATTAAAACAAAGCACATCTTCAATGCAAGCTGCAATATGTTATACCCATGGCAAAGTATGCAATGACTGTTACCTCAAATTTAACAACCCCTTAGCACCACAATATAATCTTTCAACCCTGAGTGCATAGGATATGAGACTAATATTATTGCCAAATACTGCATAGGACATAAGACTAACTTTGTTGGAGAATACTGCATAGAACATAAAACTAATCTTAAGTTGCCAATTAATACTACATATAACTACACACAACATCAACAGAAATGGGAACATGCAATTCAATTGCTGTCAGAAAATGGAAGGCAGTCTCCAGAGGGTTGCGTTAGTTCCATAGAATCCCCAAGTCCTAACATAACTGGGCCGATGGAAAACAGAACAGCTAAAACAGCTTCCATTCCGAAGTCCTGACATGGCCTGGTCAATGGAGCAGCTAAAGTGCAATGTGACAAAATAATCCACAGCAATATGACATCATCACAAGAAAATAATCACAGCTAGCTCTGCAGAATTATGACTAAGCCAAGGCAGCTGCACAGTCCTCTCATTTTGACCGCCTGGCATCTATACAGATATAGTAAATATACAGCAGAATATTCTTTAAGGGATGAAGTTGTGCCTCAAAACAAAAGAAAGAAAACAGAACCCTAGTGAAAGAATTGTGAGAAATGTGTAGACTAATAAAATAAATGCATGTGGCTCAATTTGGCCAGCCTCCAATTCATTTATACAGCAGGGCACGGCGTACACCATTCACAAAACTGAATTTAATTCCTAGTAAAATCTGAAAGTAATTCATCTTATCTGGAGCACCCTATCTGGAGCACACTCTGTGGAGCACCCCATGTGATGAAGTCACAATCAGATTCATTTTTGGCATGAAAGATGAAGGTTGAAACAGTGGGGAGCCATCTAAATGTTGCTTGTTTTTGTTGTGAGCTTATGGAAACCCAGTTAAATCAAAGTGTGTAAGGATATAATAAATAAAACGGTTACAGAAGTTTTTGACGGGTAGTTTTTAAATTAAAAAAAAATTCAACTGGTTAATTAAATAAAAAAAACAATACAATTTAAATAAACAGTGGAGTGCAATTGCATATAAAAAATAAAAAAATCACACTTGGCTTATGAGGGCACCCCCGTACTATGTGGACAAGAAGCAGGAAATAAAACTAAAAAAAAAAATAATTTTAATATGAAGTTATGTAAATATTTAAGTGATTACAGTTGCACACAGGTTGGTATGGTTAAGGCAGTTCCAACCGTGAAACACAAACTTTCTCATGCAGGTATAGTCAAGCTGCCAAAGTTCATTATATACACTGAATAGCTGAACAGACGCAAAGTATCCGTCCCTTTGTTGATACAGGTGTATCCCGAATATGTAAAATGGACAAGCTTATTCCTTGGAAAAGAAATAAATACATATTTAAAAAAAAAAAAAAATCATTGATGTAGCCGTTATTTAATTAAGAAAACAAAAGAAAGGATAAACCATAGTTTATAAATAATTATGGTGTTCTTTTTTAAATTTTTGTTTGTTTATTTTTCTATTAAGAGGCAATATTTTTTTGTTGTTTTGTTGTTGTTTTTGCTTAGATGAATCTCTGGAAAAAAAACAACAACCCAAAAACGTTAGTTGAAAGATAATGTTGCACTGCATGACTCTTTGTTGACAATTTTTGTGACAAGACTGATTTGAACTTAGTCGATCTTAGGATTTAGTGAACACTCCTACAACAGTTGTGTAAACAAGGTCTCATTAGCCCTTGAAGTAACAGTTAGCGGATACAGGCCCTGACTAAGAAGTCTTAATGGCCATGTATAATTGTATACCCTTATCTAATGAGGTTGATCATAAATCCAAAGAAGCCAAACTAAGGAAGAAAAAAAAAGGAAGAAAACGACTCTACTGCAGCACTGAGCCTAGTCTACAGAACTGGAACAGATGCTCTGATTTACAGATAAAGTTTAAAAAAAACAAACAACTTTTTACTTGAAGATTTACACAAGTATACTGCGCCAGGCCAGCCTTCGATTTACATTTCTTTAACACCATAAAAGTTAAAAAAAAATTCAACTAAAATATTTTGCGTGTGTGCTATAATACACCTGAAAATACATCCTCCTGTTAGAAGGCTTGTTTCTCATTAAAAACAGATCCCATATTTAAATTGTTTGGTTATTTTCAGATGTCATAATTAAACAAATGGTTAGCTTTTTATTTGCTTTCAGGCACCGATAGCTAACCTGAGAACAACAACTTTAGAGAAAGTGTTTAAACAAGGTGTGTACTATGTCGGTAGACTAAGTGTTTCAAAGAAAGCACCGAGCCCCATTTACCAGACTGCTTATTCCTTGTAAATTAGCAATCACTGTTTTACGCTTCGCGAACTCAATGCCCATTCCAATATCCCATCCATAATACAATCAATAAATACTGTCAAATTGTCACAGCCAGAATATGGCTATATAATATGAACATAATACGAACGTTTTGTGGCAGATCAAAGAAAAAAAACAACCTATCCCGCATGAGGATGATATTTTATGTTAGTAGTTTGTTTTAAAACAAGAACTACATGCAGATATACATACCGTACTCATATAAACCCCCACCCCACTTCCACATCTAAATCTGTCAGTATGCACATCCTCAAGTAGGGAGGTGCGGTATGAGCTGCTGAGGTACAGTAAATGCCCTTAAACATGAATAATCCTTCAATAATACTCAAGTGTTGAAAAAAACAACAACAAAAAAAAACAAGTCAACGTTGGTTAAGAACTCAAGCCCATGTTAGGCACACATAAATTTGCTGCAATGAAAGCAAGATGTGAAACAGAAAAAAAAGAGTAGATTACATATTTATACCACTGTACAATTTTTTTTTTTTTTGGTTGTATTTATATATTGATCATTTAACATAAAGCAGATGCATAAGAAAAAGTATGGCTTCTCTCCCCCTGACCCAAATAGGGGAAGTAAGGCAAAAGAGAAAATAAAGAGGATAGGGTTCCAGTTTTGAAGACTTGGTTTAAAATAACAATGTATAGATATATAAATATATGGGCTTGTAGAAGGGAAGATCACAAGACTGGTTGACTAACATAAGGAAGAAAATATTCAGCAAATCAATGTAAACGTTTTATAAGAAAGCGACCAATAATTTGTCTCTTCTCTCAGCTCAATCTATGAGGAGGTTGTAGTTTTGACAGTAATTCAGATAAATATTGAGGAAAGCTAAAAAAAAAACCCACCCAAACAACTATTTAAAAGTTTCTGTGGAAAAATAACTTCAAATGTATAAAAGAGTGGTTCGTTACTTCAAAATCTTACTCAAATCTGAAAATATTAATTAATGTGTTTTTTTAAAATTCAAGAGCATCAAAAAAAAAAAAAATCTGTGGTGGTTCTTTTTTAATAAAAAAGAAAGTGGAAACATAGCAGTACAATTATTACTGGTATAACAATCTTTTAGTTTTAAAATGTGTATTTTTCATGGATCTTTCAAAAAATCTATATGAATCCATCTTTGCTATAATACGACTGTAACATATTATTATAAATGCATTTAACACCTGGACTGTTTGAAAAGTTATTCAACTTGTTTTCACGTCGAAACTTTCTTCTCAATGACTGGTGACAATAATTTTCTTTCAAGAGCTCTCAAGCATAAAGTAGGCCAACAATATCAACAGAGGGGGATACAAACCCCAACCACAAACAAGTCTATGTACATTAATTTATCTGGGGGGTCATCAACCCAGCAGGACCTTCCTCATCCTGTCCCTGGCATCATCATCTTCCTCGTCATCACTCTCCCTGCTCGAGGTGACAGTGGGTGAACTTGTCGTGCAGCTGGGGGAGCACAGGTACTGCAGCAGGGGGAGTCGGTACTTTCCGCAAAAATCAACAAATTTGACTTGCTCAACCCGAGATGAGAAGTAGACACCTGGGTCAGGAAGAAAAAAACATTGATATTTAGTTATTTTTTACATGGATGTCACATTGCAGCTTCTGAAATCAGTTCAAGAACAGACTTCAGCAAGACTGAATTACACATTTGACACCCCCCTCCCCCCACCAATAAAACTATGATGTACCAGCACAATGGCAGAACTGACACTAATGTTTTATTGAAGAAGCTGCACTGCAACTAATGTTTTAAAGGAAGGGCACAAAAATGAGTTAGCAAATGTTTAAAAAAAAATAATTACAAAATAACCATCTGCGCAGTTTCTATGCATTTAATTATAATTTTCTGCCAATTGCTTTAAACTTCCATAGAATAGTTTTTCTGCTATTCACAATTTTATTAATTTTTATACCTTTATGTTTTATATTTAAAAAAAATTGAATTTCATTACAGAGATAATTTTGAGCAGAGAACAACAAATATTTACACAGGTTTCCATCATCACCATCATTTCCAGGTAGGGGAGTGGGTGGGGGTGGGAAGGAGCAAGTGCGGGGCATTAATCTATCATTTGTCAGCTTCAATGACCCAGTATCTGGGGAAAATGTCATATCTTAGAGGATACTATGAATTACAGAATATCCCATGTATTGGGGATTATTCCATGTATTATATATCATCCCATGTATTATAGGTTATTCCATGTATTATAGGTTACCCTATGTATTTGAGATTATCCCATGTGATCTATTTCATTGTAAAAACAGTTCAAGCCACATCACAGATTAGTTGGGTTCCTACTAATTGAAGCTGTGTTGACCTCAGTGAATAGAGGGCAGAGAGATAAGGTTAGGCATGAGATAAAAATCTGGGATTTCTTCAAGGTTCAGCAGACGCCTTTAAATGCCATCCAATAATACAGTGTCAACTGCTGTAACTGTTAGGCATAAAACCATTGAACCATGAGGATTTATAAGGCACCAAAATTGAATTATGAGACCCATTTTTTTGGGCAATTGCTAACTTTATACTTAAGAATTTTAAAAAAGAACAATAAACTAATGATGACATGTCATAAGACCATTAAGTTATTTTTGGTTTGTAAATAACTTGTCAAGCGTAAATTTAAAAAAAATCCCAAGAGAATAGTATAGGCTGATATGAACTCTCATGAGATTCTAAGACAAGACTTGTACAATTTCAGCACATGATGTTTAAAAGTTTATATCGCCAACAGTTTTAGAGCTAACTGTTTGAAACAGTGGCAGCCAACGTATTTGTTTATTTGTTACACCTGACATACACCCCCCCCCCCTTTCCGGTTTCAACACATACACATCATGTTGACCAGCTGAACATCTATAGTCTTTTTTTTCCAAAACTATCTGACCTCAAGAAATATTTACACAAACAGCAACATTAATCTCATTGATGACAACATAAAAAGGGTATCATAACAAGCTCTTACCAAAATAAACATATTGTGCTGGTCCATTTCTTTTCATAAGGTTGAACAACTTCATTTAACATTTAATCATTTTTTTTTTAAAATTGTTTAAAATTATCTTAGTCAAAATAAACAACAACTCAAGTCCAACAAGCCTAACCAAGAAAATAGAACTAGATCTGACACAGTTCGACCTCATATTTTTAGTTTGGTTTTTAGTTTAGAGGCTTTCACATCTCTTTCTTTTTTTTTTTTTTGGACTTTACAAAATTTTTAGTGCTTTCACAGTGGTGTAGTATTAAACAACTTCATTTAAAAAAAAAAAAAAACTTATACTAAATATTCGACCTCATATTTTTAGTTTGGTTTTTAGTTTAGAGGCTTTCACATCTCTTTCTTTTTTTTTTTTTTGGACTTTACAAAATTTTTAGTGCTTTCACAGTGGTGTAGTATTAAACAGCTTCATTTAAAAGAAAAAAAAAAGTTCTACTAAATGACATAGGCAGACTTTCATCCAAATGCCTTCTTACAGTATGTGTAATAGACAGTGGCGTAACTGTACATGAATAAAACTGAATAAATATTCTAAAGCTAGCAGAACATGCCGCCCCTCCCAATAAAAACAAAAGTGACACCTGAGGCCGACCGCCCCCTCCGCATTCCCTTTCCTACACCACTACTAATAGAAGATAGTTAAGCCAACACAAAAATAATATTTTCAAAACCATTTACACAAAAAACATGTTTTGAATCAAATTGAAGAATTATAAAAACAACAACAAAAAACCCCCAAAAAACAGGACCCATCAATTAAGTGTACAAAACTATAGCATGGCTCTGGATCAGCTGAGCATTCTACATTAAATGTTCATTATGCTAATGGTGAAAGGTCATTGGACTCTGATCTTCCACAGAGAAATCACTAAAGAGATAGGAACTGTCACTAGGCACAAATGAAAGCTGTTATCTGATAAGACAAAAATGAGGCTCATGATGTTTGCACGCAGACATGTGCCTAAAGAAGATCAAAGGGCTAAACACTGGATTCCCAATCACACAAGGGGATATGTGCCTAAGGAATATCCGAGGACTAAACACTGGATTCCCAATCACACAAGGGGACATGTGCCTAAGGAAGATCCGAGGACTTAACACTGGATTCCCAATCACACAAGGGAACAACAACAAAAACAGAGGCTGGACTGAAGTAAAGCCTTTTGAAAATGTCACTTACTTACAAGGCATGTTACAGTCTTAAAATCCATCTGTACACCTTCCATTTCCATATGAACCACAACCCAACCCCCTCCCTATTATTGAAATCAAAGAAAGTGATATGCCATCATATGAAGATATGCATGTATGTTTTTAATAAAGGTTTTTCTTAGTTGTGGAAAGAAAATTACACATCACATTGTAATGTGAATAGACAGTATATTTTGTCCAAAAACTATATTGGTCAGACATTTCATTTTTATCTAAGATATTTTATATTGGTCAGACAGTTTATTTTGGTCAAATATATTTTATATAGGTCAGATAGTTTATTTAGGTCAAAGATATTTTATATAGGTCAGATAGTTTACTTTGAATGGAGATATAGAGTTTATATAGGTCACCTAAGTTTATATTGGTCACATACATTTTATATTGGTCACATACAGTTCATATTGATTAGATATGTTACTTATATTTTATATTTTCAGACGGTTTATATTTGTTATAGACAGTTTATATTGGTCAAATACAGTTTATATTAGGGCACATACAATTTAGATTGGTAAAATACTGTTTATAATAGTCACATACAGTTTATATTGGTCAAATGCAGGTTATATTGGTCACATACAGTTTATATTGGTCACATACAGTTTATATTGGTCACATACAGTTTATATTGGTCATATACACTTAATATTGGTCACATATAGTTTATATTAATCACAACAGTTTATAGTGGCCTGTCAAGGAAGATACCATTAGTAACAGCCCAGGGGTAGGATCATTAAACGCAAATCAACTAATGACCAAAGAGTTTCCTTGGCCTAGTTTAAAACACACCATAATTTTCTTAGGGTAAGACTAGTGACCTAGTTATATAAACATCACACCACTGGTGACACCAGGTGAGGATCAATCCTGCAAGCCTATCTCTAAATGTTTATTTAAGCACCACTATTGTGTTTATTTGAGCACAGACAGCCTACATTCCTTTTGTGGGGTACTAATGAATATTATTAACATGAATGAGTCCATACTGATCCAAGACTGTAACGGTGTTCTCTTAAAGTTCTCTTCAGTCGTTTAAGTGAGACGATGCCTGCTGGGTCCAGAATGATCATTTTTCAAAACTGGACATTGAACCAGAACAGTGGAAACTCAAATATCCAGTCATCAGTTACACGGCTGTTCGCAATATCTGGATTCATATTTTATAATCCAGCAAGGCACAAAGTACCTCATCCATTGTCTTTGGCAGTTTGAGTGAGATCAAAGATGAAATAAAACTTTCATGATCAGGATCAAAGCTTTGAAACAAACAAAATTTGTTATTTTACTACATACACCCACTTGCTCGCTTTATTATTTTTCAGATAAGCCAGCTTTATAAGATTTATTTTAAAAAAAACAAAAAACAAACTGTATAGGTTAATGGTAACTTTTGGGGGCAGGGCCCTGACTCACCTTTACACTGTGGGTTGACACATCTCTGGGCCGAATCCAAGTATCTGATGAGGCTGTAAGGCAGGTCCTCAGGTGTGTAGCGAAGTTTTTCTATCTTAATTACTCGTCCAGATAGCTCAAGAAGTGACGGTGGGTTGTAGACTAAGTCCTAGACAACAAGAAAATAAAGCCAGAATAAGAAATTAACAAAGAATATTGCTACATAAATGTTTAGTAATAATAAAAAAAAAAAAAAAAGATGATTGTTTTAGGTATCTCAAAGTGAAGATAAAAGGACACATAAAAGGGATACAACTTCAAAAAAAAAAGTTGTTAAAATAAACAAAATACAAAAAAACAAACAAAAAAAAAAAAAAAAAAAAAAAAAAAAAAAAAATAAAAAAAAAAAATTTAAAAAAAATGTTTAAAAAAAAAAAAAAAAAAAAAAGGATGATTGTTTTAGGTATCTCAAAGTGAAGATAAAAGGTCACATAAAAGGGGTACAACTTCAAAAAAAAAAAGTTGTTAAAATAATCTACATGCACACAACAAATATTTTCAACTTTCCCTTAAAGAACCTACCAAAGTTTTGTATACAACTTTCAGGCACAGGTTGAGCGACCCAAGTGGCAAGGTTAAGACCCTGTGTCATTTGTGGGTAAATGAAAGCAGTGACCATGTAACAACAGGAATACCAACTAAATCACCACTGGGTCCTCTCTGTCTTTGTTAGTAGCTTGTGATGGACATTTAGATTAAAGCTCTTCTTCCAAAACACCTTACCAACATGTTTGTTAGCCTGTTCTGACAATATTGTTCTTTTGGTAGTGTTTTTCCCTCAAAAAAAAAAAAAAAAAAAAAAAAAATAAAATTATAAGCTCTATTCTTAACTTATCCATAATGGTGGTATCCAGGCAATGCAGAATGTAAAACAGAGCAATCCAGAGTAGTCCATTGTTTAAACTTATACACAAAATACTATATCTCATCTACATGATTGTCACTCCCCCTACAAAACATAAGTAACAAAAAATTTTTTTGAGTCTGAAAAGCTTATCCAACCCACTGACCTCAACAAACCGATTGACTAGAGGGTTGTTGCGTAGACTAAGCTCAACCAGGTTTAGGGCCACAATCTCTGTGGGCAGGGTGGAGAGTTTGTTGTTGTGGAGGCTGAGGCTGCGAAGGGTGCGGAGGTTGATGAGAGTGGGCGGAAGACTCTGCAGCCGGTTGTCGCACAGCACCAGAGAGGTGAGCTCACTCAGGTAGCCGACCTCCGCGGGTATTTCCATGAGTTGGTTGCCTCCAAGGTAGAGCACCTGCAGTCTGTGTAGAGAAAATAATGATATCATAAAGTCTCAGAATTCAAAGTCAAAGAACCAAGAAGACTTCTCTCTAAACATTTGGAATCTAGTTGAGAGAAGTTGATTTAGATGAAAACATTAATCTGAATTGTTTTTTTAATGTCTGTCTAGACATTTGTGCATTTCTGACTAGATGTTCATGTACTTCTGACTAGATGTTTATGTACTTCTGACTAGATGTTCATTGCACTTCTGACTAAATGTTTATGTATTTCTGACTGGATGTCCCTGTATTTGGTGGTACAGTGATTGAGGAAGATGACCATATAAAAATCAAGTGCAGGTTGGTCCACAGGGGATTTCATTGATGCTAAACATTCCCTTTCCGTCAGTTTGGAGGGGTACCAACATTCCCTTCCCGTCAGTTTGGAGGGGTACCAACATTCCCTTCCCGTCAGTTTGGAGGGGTACCAACATTCCCTTTCTGTCAGTTTGGAGGGGTACCAACGTTACAATCGAATTGCATCAGGCGATCATCAGCACGCACGCTGTGAGCAGTTTTAAAAATATCCCTTTTTTATTTGTCTTTGGTGAAACTGATGAGGGCCAGAGTACTTTGGAACGATAACACGTCAATTAAGCAATCCCACCCCCCTCCCACCTGCTCCCCCAACCTGTCTGCGGTTTCTGCATTTAACGAGCTCACCAGTCATTTCATAGATAGAATAATGACCTACACCATTTGTTCAGTTGCTGGGCTGAAGAGACAAAGCCCGCCCCCCCCTCTCCCTCCCCTTCCCCCCAGCATCTCTCTCTCTATTCTGCTGGGTTGGTTTAACCCGCGTTGGGTTACAGAATAACAAGTCGTCTGATGCGAGTGGTCGCCGTTGTTCTAGCAGCTTGACGGCGACCTCGGTGGTCTTCCCGTTTTGTTCGGATGGCATTCTTTTTTAGAGACCGCAAATGAAAGGATCACGAAGCACTCATTGCCTTTCAGGACAGGCGGATTGATGTGGAAAATCCTCCAGCGGAGAAGCTTAAACTTAAAGCGTTGGATATTATAAAACTGATTTCGAATATGGTACCTTGCATGCTCAAGTATGTCTTAAAGAGAGATCAACACTTAAAAAAAAGGCTACCGCACAGTCCTTCGCTTCGCAAACGTTTTTATAGTGAGTGAAAGGCAGGGATTGATCCCTAGTGCAGCAACCCAATGGAATGGTCCCTTTTGGCCTTCATACATAATCATTGAACGTGGACACAGTTCATGGTGATTGGGGGGGGTCTATAATTGGACATAGTTCATGGTGATGGGGGGTGTATGCGGGGACACAGTTCATGGTGATTGAGGTGGTGTATACGTGGACACAGTTCATGGTGATGGGGGTGTATGCGGGGACACAGTTCATGGTGATTGAGGTGGTGTATACGTGGACACAGTTCATGGTGATGGGGGTGTATGCGGGGACACAGTTCATGGTGATTGAGGTGGTGTATACGTGGACACAGTTCATGGTGATGGGGGTGTATGCGGGGACACAGTTCATGGTGATTGAGGTGGTGTATACGTGGACACAGTTCATGGTGATGGGGGTGTATGCGGGGACACAGTTCATGGTGATTGAGGTGGTGTATACGTGGACACAGTTCATGGTGATGGGGGTGTATGCGGGGACACAGTTCATGGTGATTGAGGTGGTGTATACGTGGACACAGTTCATGGTGATGGGGGTGTATGCGGGGACACAGTTCATGGTGATTGAGGTGGTGTATACGTGGACACAGTTCATGGTGATGGGGGTGTATGCGGGGACACAGTTCATGGTGATTGAGGTGGTGTATACGTGGACACAGTTCATGGTGATGGGGGTGTNTGCACAGTGGGCATCTACACTCAGAAATACTTCATTGCACAGTGGGCATCTACACTCAGAAATACTTCATTGCACAGTGGGCATCTACACTCAGAAATACTTCATTGCACAGTGGGCATCTACACTCAGAAATACTTCATTGCACAGTGGGCATCTACACTCAGAAATACTTCATTGCACAGTGGGCATCTACACTCAGAAATACTTCATTGCACAGTGGGCATCTACACTCAGAAATACTTCATTGCACAGTGGGCATCTACACTCCGCGGACATACTTCCTCAGCTATCCAAAAGATGTTGCACCACGGATTGAGATGACGAAACATTGCAATCATATCCCACGTCAAATAGTTTAGATCCACGTTATACAGTAAACAAATAAATACTAATATAAAACAACAACAAAACCAACAAACTCGAAGACACGTCTATGCCCTTTTGAGGACCGCTGAACAGACACTCGTACTACAGCCCTGCTTACGAGAGGCTCAGTACCGCAAGGTCAGATGACGTGTGAGGTCACCGGGAGGTAGACGCACCGGCCCTGGTTGTTGACAGAGCCATGGTGCAAAATGTTGCAGAATGCAACCTGGAACCTGGACGGACAAGATCTAACCATGCCGCCTGAAATATTAATGGCTCTCTCCCCCCCCTCCCCCCGTTAGACAACATGGCTTAGCTTGATATAATTTTTAAACAAAATCTACACTGCACTTATCCATCTTCCTAGTTTTTAACGGTCAATTCACTCCAAACTCCAATAGTCTTAGGGGGGCTACTGTCTTTCGTTAAGCTGAACAATGGCTGATGCCAGCCATGGATGTGAGTCGGGTTTAGGGAGCCCAGAGTCTAAGACTGGCATCAGGTCCGAATACATTAAGAAAACAAAAATGTGGGCAGTATATCTATAGACGATTCTTATAGGTCAAGTTGAAGGAAAATAATAATTTTTGCTGGAGACGGTAAATTTTCTGGGGAAAAAAAAAGAGAGGGCTGTGGGGTCCGCACTCCTGAAAGCAAACCATTGGGGTGCTGAGGTTATACGGGGTACAACAAAGAGCATAAAAAAGAAAAAAACAAATATATATACTGATGATCAGAGCGCTGTGATGCGGGCGTGATACCCGGACCCAGTCTTCGGAGGCGAAAATCGTCATTTCATACTATGTACCGGTACTTTAAAAGAAAGAGAGAGAGCTTAACTTCAGGTTTTGCCCAGGGCGCAGTTTTTGATTGCCACTGCCCTGCCACCGATGCTTTTGATTGCCACTGCCCTTCCAACGATGCTTCTGATTGCCACTGCCCTGCCGACGATGTTTTTGATTGCCACTGCCCTGCGACCGATGTTTTTGATTGTCACTGCCCTGGCGACGATGTTTTTGATTGCCACTGCCCGGCCACCGATGTTTTTAATTGCCACTGCCCTGCCGACGATGTTTTTGATTGCAACTGCCCGGCCACCGATGTTTTTAATTGCCACTGCCCTGCCGCCGATGCTTTTGATTGCCACTGCCCTGCCGACGATGTTTTTGATTGCCACTGCCCGGCCCAACTGCCCAGCCACCGATGTTTTTAATTGCCACTGCCCTGCCGACGATGCTTTTGATTGCCACTGCCCTGCCGACGATGTTTTTGATTGCCACTGCCCGGCCACCGATGTTTTTAATTGCCACTGCCCGGCCACCGATGTTTTTGATTGCCACTGCCCGGCCACCGATGTTTTTAATTGCCACTGCCCTGCCGACGATGCTTTTGATTGCCACTGCCCTGCCGACGATGTTTTTGATTGCCCCTGCCCTGCCACCGATGTTTTTGATTGCCCCTGCCCTGCCGACGATGTGTTTGATTTTTAAAAAAAATCTTTGAAAACTAAAATGTACATACAAATAATGGAGGCTTCATTAAAATAGCTTCCCAAAAAAGCATCTATTAAAACAAAACGATCAATTAACCAATGAGCAGGCCGATCGTAATGTATGCACGTGGTCATGGTTGGGACAACTGTGCACGAGCTGGTCATGATACGGATTACAGTGACCACCAGTGGCGTAGCGAGGGTGTTTGGCGCCCGGGGGACAAGATTCGCGCACGGGGACAAGATCCATTTTTAGCGCCCCTTTTTCTTTTGTTTCAACTCTCAAACCCATTATTTTCATCAATAAAATAATATCAAAGCACATTTTGGCGCCCTAAAAAGCTGGCGCACGGGTACATCTGTCCCCCCTGCCCCCCACCACGCTACGCCTCTGGTGACCACTAACACGACCAGGTTTTAATGAGTTCTTGTCACCGGCGAGTGTTTGAACTCTGAAATCGACCTCCGATTAAAGCAGAGGCTATAGGTGAGCAAGCATCCCGTTAACAGGTGGTGTCATGTATTAAAATTTGTGTGCCGCCTCTCTCACGCCTTGGACACTGGAAAACAAACAAACAAGGTCATTCATGCATATTTGATTTATAACCAAGGGCATGGATTCGACAGCGTAAACGATACATTTTAAAGGATTACTTTTTAAGCTTACTGAAGCTCATTTCAGGGGCTTCCATAAATGACGTTACCCACCGAGAGGAGGGAGAAAAAAAAGGGGGAGGTGGGGCAAGAATTTGTGATGATATGTCATGAGGGTATCTACACTTTGTGACAATGGGGCACCGAAGGGGGGGGTGGGGTGGACTTTCAAAATAAGGATTAAGAAGATAAACAATTTAAAACAAGAATACGAGCATGCTAATATGGCTTCCGTGGTTATTATCATTTGTCTGTTATATGTGTAGGGGAGGAGGGGTTAATTTAAACAAAAAACATAATTGGGGTTGGGGTGGGCAAGGGTATCACTATTTAGTAAGTTCATTAGAAGGTAGGCAACTTTTTTTAAAAATGTTATGCTCTTAAACGGATCTCCTGGTCCATAATGGTCAAGAGATTGACCTTCCAGGTGATCACTGCTTTTAACGCCCTCTGTCTACATTCTACAATCACCAGGAGCTTCATCCCCTGGTCCACAATCATTGAGAGTTTCACCACCTAGTCCACAATCATGATTTTCACCCCTTGGTCCACAATCATTGAGAGTTTCACCCTCTGGTCCACAATTATTGAGAATTTCACCCCCGTCCACAATCATTGAGAATTTCACCCTCTGGTCCACACTCATTGAGAATTTCACCCCCCGTCCACAATCATTGAGAGTTACCCCTTGGTCACAATCATTGAGAGTTTCATCCCCTGGTCCACAATCATTGAAAGTTTCACCCCCGGTCCACAATCATTGAGTTTCATCCCCGTCCACAATCATTGAAAGTTTCATCCCCTGGTCCACAATCATTGAAAGTTTCATCTCCTGGTCCACAATCATTGAAAGTTTCATCCCCTGGTCCACAATCATTGAAAGTTTCATCCCCTGGTCCACAATCATTGAAAGTTTCACCCCCTGGTCCACAATCCCCTTACACCATGTCATGATGATGTTCCATGTAGCAGCTGTGAGCAAAGTGGGTAACGTGTCTGGTGGGATTAATAGACTTATGGAGTATCTTATACGCCGAGCGTGTCGCGGTTTCTGGGGATCAGAAACTAACATACTAGATTGGCCATTCCAATCTCAACACACACACACAACCGTCCCTATAGCACAGGGAACACACAGACAACACAAGGAGCACACAACCGGACCGTCCCCGTAGCACAAGAACACACAGACAACACAAGGAGCACACAACCGGACCGTCCCCGTAGCACAAGAACACACAGACAACACAAGGAGCACACAACCGGACCGACCCTGTAGCACAGAGAACACACAGACAACAACAAACAAACGGACCGTCCCTGTAGCACAGAGAACACACAGACAACACAATGAGCACACAAACGGACCGTCCCTGTAGCACAGAGAACACACAGACAACACAATGAGCACACAAACGGACCGTCCCTGTAGCACAGAGAACACACAGACAACACAATGAGCACACAAACGGACCGTCCCTGTAGCACAGAGAACACACAGACAACACAATGAGCACACAAACGGACCGTCCCTGTAGCACAGAGAACACACAGACAACACAATGAGCACACAAACGGACCGTCCCTGTAGCACAGAGAACACACAGACAACACAATGAGCACACAAACGGACCGTCCCTGTAGAACAGAGAACACACAGGCAACACAATGAGCACACAAACGGACCGTCCCTGTAGAACAGAGAAGACACAGAGAACACAAGGAGCAATGGGTTTGTACTGTCAGGGTTGACGTTTCACAAGATTTAATGTATTGGGGGGAAAAAAAGAGGATCTTAATGAATTCGTGCTTCGTACTCGTGTTCTTTTGGTGAGGCGCATGCGCTGGAGAACTCGTGTGTTTCCAACAAGGAAAACAAGAAAGGGACCAAAATGTTCGAATACACTGGTTGGGCCAAATGGTTGGAAATGGGATCTGGTCAGCCCAGCAGGATGGAATGGGCTCAGGGCAGCCAAGCAAGCAGCTGTCTTGGGGGTGAGGTGTTTCCTTGAGTTAAAGAACTCAACCATCGAAGTGGGATGACACCAGCCATGGACTTAAAAAATCGTCTGTCTACGGCAGGGGTGTCAAACTCAATCGCTCAGCGGGCCAAAATTCAAATCACGCGTAAGGTTGCGGGCCGAACAGGATAAAATTAAACCCTTTTGAAACATTAATATACATTAAAAGAGAAAAAAAGTTTTAATGAGTATGGTATACTCATTTTCGCTCTTATGCCACTTTGTCTCAGCTGGATGTTTGGCATCTTCTCTTGGCTACAGGTTCGTTTAGTTGGAAGTAATGTTCTGTGTCATTGAGATTCTAATACTGGAATGCAAGTGTTCATCATTGAGACGACTTTTGTGCGATGTTTTGTTAATCTTCATCATAGAAAACAGCTGCTCACACAGACATGTGCTACCCAACATGCTCCAGGTTCGAGCCGCACGTAGACGAAGCTGGGGCATCTCTTCGGGAATGAAACGAGTGAACTGTGCAGGCCCAACAGTGTCGTACTTTGCCTTTAGTGTCCCATTACACTACACTGCAGCTCTATTAGCCCCATCTTCAAATTTAAAAGCTGCAGTTTCCGCGCCTATGATTACTGGGTTGCTGTGACGGCGAACATCCACTCACTTCACAACTTTTAGTTTCGTTTTTAAAACGCTCCTAGATAGCGTATCGTTCGTCAATGCTGCTAATTAGGGAACGCGATTGGCACTTTATATTGCAGGGCCATTAAAAATATGGTTTGCCTAAAATTCTAATTCTCTTTCGGGCCTGATATAATTGTACGCAAGGCCGTATGTGGCCCGCGGGGCTTGAGTTTGACACATATGGTCTACGGTATCTCGAAAAACACACACACTAGTATAGACCAGTCCTTAGAAATTCACTCTCAAAGAAGGTGATTCTGAACACATTATCCCTTAAAAAAATACAAAACAACTTAAACCAACCTTTAAGTTCCACTTAATAACGACGCCAGCTTTTCTTCTTAAACTAACCTTACAAAGATGTTTCGAGATTAGTGTAGGTCTGTCAGTAGTGCCAGACAACATTATAGTTCTGAATCGTATACCCATTAACGAAAATAAACGTCTTTCATGCAATCTGCCACATTCATTCATTCATATGTCTTAATCTGCCTCATTCATTCGCACAATCTGCCACAGCCATTCATCATATTTCATAATCTGCCTCATTCATTCACACAATCTGCCACATGTATCACGCAAACAATGTCTTTCCCACCTTGTTAGTCCAGTGACAGTGAAATGGTGGTGGTGGGTTGTGTGTGTGGGGGGGGGGGGGGGGGGATTCAGACTGATTTAAAAAATAAAAAAAAAACTTAGACCACTAAATCTTGGAATTAAACATCCGATTTTTCGCCCCCCCCCTCGCATACACAGATTAAATATTGTTCTCATTTAATTTGGAATAATTACAACAATAATCGATGCTTAATATATATATATATTATATACCTCTTCTGGGGTCCTTGCATTTGTAGGGGGAGTAACGATTTAGGGACTCCTGTGGACCCACAAACACAGACGGTTAGACAATGAAAAAAGGTATACTGTAAATGTAAACCACAGTTCAGAGGTCAAATGACAAGAGAAAACTTTGCTCAGAGCACCAGAGGCACAGCAACACATTTTAAATGATCAAGCAAAGCTTTGCTCACGGCAAGGTAAACCTTTGTGTTGCACTGCCATTGGAGGCGGGCTGTATATGCTTGCATTACGAAAGTAGGGCAGTTATTCTCTTGAGTTGGCCGAGCCCAGAGCAGTGGTTCTTACCCCCCTCCCCCCTCCCCCGTCCTCACAATGCACCATATTCATATAGCTTCAATCATAACAGTGAGTCTTAAGCAGCGGTGGAGCTAGGGTTCGTGCCCCCCTTCCACGGAAAAAAAACAACAACCTATGTGTAGTAGACCGAAAATACCGCCCCTCCAATAAAAAGACAAAACGCCGCCGCCCCCTCGCCCCTTCCTATGCCACTGGTCTCATGATCTGACTCTGACCACAGAAACAATGGAATGCAATATAACCCTAGCCAGGTTAATACTCCTACAATACCACTGTTACCTGCTCATAGACTAAGACGTGGGTCCGATTATTGAGATTGCTAATAAATGAGCACAGTCCCACTGGTTTACCGTTTGCATAATTACGGTAGTTATGTTATGCTAACGTCAGCAGGTCGTTTGTTTGCTTTTTCACAACATACAAATTACAAAGACACCAGCTGGTGACTATGCCAATAATCAATATTTTGTTTACCTAAGCAAAGCATGTTTACCACCTCGCCTGTTGTTGATTTCACTACTTACACTGCTCAAGTGCTGGCAAACAAGGACACTAACTTTTAAAGACATTAATTTTTAATAAATGATCGTAGACACCTTAGTAAAGTTTTTAAAAACAGATACGTATCGGATTTGTTCAATGTATCAGTAAAAATCGTAAATGATCAGTAAAAAATTGTATGAGACATCTATTCCGTATTTAAACTGTAAAATACAAGAAGATAATAGAAATTATCTTATCACAGTATCATACTCAGCTTATTTTTATAATGTGAAAGGCTTTAAAAGCCAGTCACATTTCCAATAGCTTTGGTCTCAATTTTATTATATGAGTATGAGTAGTTAACACATTTAGAAAAAAATTCTACAAACAAAATCTAGGGATAGATTACGTTATTTTATAATTGTTAATAGTCATATTTATAATATTTTATTAATTAGTTATGTATTTTACACACATAATTTGAAATTGCACACTTTTCAATTGGCCATTCTTTTAAAGATTAATGCAGCCATTGTAAATATTTTTCTCTGTGTAAGTGTAAACCAACTATCAATATCATTATTAATATTATATTCATGTGTATACTTTTGCTAAAATGATGGTGCAACAGAGTTCTCACAGGTTGTTTGGGATCCTGCATTTAAGTTCATTTATAAATAAAAAAATTAACATCTAGACTCTAAATTTGACAATGTACACATTGTTCTTGTGTGAATTTTTTTTTGGGGTTCAGTACCAGGGAAATACATTAAAAATAATGAATTCAGAATTAAAAGCATATAAAACAAGACTTGGGACAATTTGAAGTCTGGACAAGAATGGAGCTTGATAATAAACTTGTGTCTGAAACTGAATCACTGGGTTAGCAGTTAGCCAGTGATTTATTATTTAAATTTGTAAATAAATTAAAAATTAACCTGATCTTTGATTTACTCAAACATCATAGGATGCAATTAAACTAGTTTACATTAACAAAATAAAATCATAAGGCACTTTTTGACGTTTACATTTTTTAATGTATTATTTTTTTTTATGGAGTGAAGGATAGTGGTGTATATATTATATAATTATTAACTAGCAGAACACTAACTTTTCCTACTTTCATAATTAATAATTATATTTTATAAGTATTTTTTACAAATTAATATAGTTTTATGAAGAAAGGTGCATCCATTATCATTAATTATGTCAACAAATTAGGGGATTGGAAGTGGTTGGAAAAAGTTTGACAATTCTTGACAAGGAGGAGGAGCAGAGGTGCAAGATTAATTCAATTAACCCTCACATAAAACAAGGTGCTCTAACTCTAACAAACTACCTTGCTAATTTGGTCCAAATTATCGACTAATGAATGTGAAAGCATATAGTAATAATGTTAACTAATCTGTTGATAATATGAGTGGCTTGATGATTGCTCTAATCCAAGGTCTTTAAATTAAGTAGGTCTATAAATTATATATATTATATAGTATAGTAATATAGTATTTATAATAAAAGTATGAATATGAAGTAGGCTATAGACTATAGACTGTACTGTAGGCTAATAATATTAAAACTATGTAAATGTAACAGTGTAGACGTTTAGTATAACAACTAGATTTTACATTACCTTGTTAAACTTTTTATGGCGCTTGGTAATTCCTTTATACGATTTCCTCCACAATGTAAAACCTGGAGTTTATCCAATTCTGTAAATTGTGGTGGAAATATTTCTATGTTATTTCCACTGACATTTATGACTTCTAACAATTTTAGAGACCCAAAATTTTTGGGGAAAGAATCGGTTGTTAACTTGTTGTTTTTAGCTATAAGTGTTCGTAATTTAGTAAGCTGACAAATTTCGTCACAAATAAAACTCATATTATTTGAAGAAATATCCAGAACAATAAGTTTTTTAAACAGTCCAATGGTACTTGGCAGACTAGTGATTTCATTGTTGTCTAGTTGGAGTGAATGGAGAACCGCCGAACGCTGCAAAATACAATCGGGTATAGTATCTAAGTTTCCGTAGGATAAATCTTCCAAATGTTCTCTTGAATATTCCGTGTCAGATGCAGCTGAAGAATAGGAACTGTAATCATAAAAGGCTGCCATTGTCTAAAGTTCTAGATCCCTAAAATTTGACGGAATTCATAAATTTAACCTTTCCTAAGGTTTTGATCCTTCGCTATGACACCATTTTGAAGTATAAAATGTTTTTCTCAGTACCGCTTTTCTGATTGGTTAACAATACGAACAAGGTCAGCTAAACGTACATTATTTTTGATTGGCTGACCAATTCCAACCCCCAAGGCTATTAATACCACATACAAAATCATCTCAAATAAATGGAACGGCGCGTGATCGGAGAATTTTAGACTCATAATGTAACTTATATGATATTACAAAATAAAATGAAATACATTAATGTGATGATTAAAAATACAGAAGCATTTCTTTTAGTTTGGCAATTATTTCAGCCCTTGGCATTTCTCTATAGAGTATACATTTATATATGCAACTTATTGCCGACTTTTAAGTTTTAAGGTCAGACACATCAATTTGAAATTTAGGTTAAAAAGTAAAAAGAAAAAAAAAGAAAAAGAAAGTGGAGGGTGTAGCTGTAACAAACAAGTACGGCAATGTATATGTCATAAGCTAGTCTTCGCGAGGTCATGTCAAAATTGAAAAAAAAAAAAAAAAGTATTATACATTATACAGGCATTTTTCTATAGAAGATACATTTATATATGCAACTTATTGCCGACTTTTAAGTTTTAAGGTCAAAAACATCAATTTGAAATTTAGGTTAAAAAGTAAAAAAAAAAAAAAAGAAAAAGAAAGTGGAGGGTGTAGCTGTAACAAACAAGTACGGCAATGTATATGTCATAAGCTAGTCTTCGCGAGGTCATGTCAAAATTGAAAAAAAAAAAAAAAGTATTATACATTATACGGTCTCCATTTTAATACACTTGGATCTTGAAACTTAGGAAAATAAATAAGACTGCATGATCAGCAGGCCAGGACATTGGATAAAGAAGTTAAATTATAATAATTCACAAATCATAGGCTGGCATATAGTATAGGATATAGGCATACGATTTTAGCTTTCAACTTATTTCAATCTGTAAAAAAATTGAAAAAGTCAAAATTTACATACAATGGCCATAGCCATTGCCCACATTCACATATGAATATTAATACGCTATTCCATCAGTTAAAAAAGAGTATCTTTGATTAAGATAATCTATGTCGATAAATTTTTTGTTAAGATGTTGTGATTAATTAACATAAGTAGGCTTAGACCAAGCTGCGCGAGTTATATTGAATAATTGGCCTAATTTATTATCATATTATTCATATGATGCTGCTAGGTGCTGTGCCATGACTAGACAGGGCCAGGGGTAGATAGTACTTGGATGGGTGAAAGTAAAGCTTATTACCTATCGTTTTTAAATTAATAATTTTCTGTAATTGCTTATTTTTATGTGAAGCACAGTGAGCCAAGCCATAGGCTTTATAAAACCACCTTAATAATAATAATAATAATAATATCAATATAAGCAAACACTGATTCACGATTAGGACCTATGAAACGATTAAACGATCTAAATAAGACATTAAATTATTATTATTACTAGTAATTTTTTGCATATTCATTGTGCCTTTTATTCGGCAGTAGGCCTATAATGAATAATTTGGAGCTTCTAATTATAATTACATTATTGAAAGATGCTAAGATTAAGATTAAGAATAATAAAAGGTGTCAGGTGTTGGCAACTGTAGATTTTAGACTTTAGACGATGAAAGAATAGGCTACATAGTGTACGAATGAATTGAATCCTAATTTAGGCTTAGGACTATATCAATTTCCCCACATTTTAAATGTTATTTAAAACTAATTATTGTTAACGAACAACATTTTCTAGTTCAGCAATCAAAGTGACACTTCACTATAGAATAATTACTATTATTTAGTTGTTTCGCTTTTGTTTATCCTGGCCATTTTTGTTTTACTTAAGTCATAGCTCTTAGCAACCTGAAAAGTTTACACATAATTCGTTTCCGGTCTCAGTTTTCAGTTTGATTACATCTGATGTGATCTGGTATGTAATGTTTTCTTTTACTTGTAAAAGTTTTATTCATTTTTCATGTCAAACTAATAATATTTTAGCTTAGTAATTCAATTAGGTCAAATGTGAAGAGATAGCATTCTGGTTCCGATAGGGTCAAAACCCTGGTCCTAGTTCCGATAGTGGTGATAGTCAGGGGCCAGGGTCAAAACCCAGGTTAGGGATGAGTTTCAGTTTAGTTTAGGATTCAGGTTAGGGATAGATTTAGGGTTCAATTTAGGTTTAGGGATACATTTAGGACATAAGTTTGTGGGTCCGCGCAACCAAGGTAAAAAATAAAGGCGGTGCTATCACACTTCACATTTACTATCAATATCACTATCACTTATTGGAATAATGCATGCAGCATATCGTTACCAAAAACTAATATAAATAGAACAATTATTTTTTAGTAGGATTTATAATAATCTAAGTCAGTGTCTTTTGTGACTCACTACCGTGATTAAGCGTGATACAAAAGTGCATAGGCATAGAGTAGTATCATAGAGCTTGCCTAATCTTGGGTTGGTATGTATAATAAGAAATTTTTAGAGATGTATGAGTATGTCTCATATGCTAATTACAATTTATGATAATCATTACATTCAAGTTAACACTTATCTTAACTGACCTAAGTGTTAACTTATTCATTTGTGAATGAATATTCAATTCATGATGATTATGTAATAATTTAAAACCCTTTTATTTCCACATTGATAGCAAATAATGTATTTCTTCTTACTGAAGATAAATTATGGAAAAACCATGGTCACCTGCATTTCGCAGCATAGTGCGTGCTGCAACAGGTGGTGCAGAGACTTGGTCACACACAGATGACAGCATGAAAATGAGGCAGTATGGATGGCGCTGTTCAACCAATGAAGATCTTTACTCAACTAGAACCCTAATTGGAAATTACAATGAGGAAAGATTCGACCTTAAGGAAATCAAAAAGAACAAACCATTGCCATCACAGGTATCATCAAATATATAATAAATGTTTGGTTTAACTTAAAAATAGGTGCTAGAAAATTTGTTGGTACTTATAACTAATATGTTATATTATTCTCCATTTTTCTTAATCCAGCTCTATAAATATAAACTAAGTTTAGTAAAGGAGGGCAACTTGTATACATCCTTTGAAAAATTGTGTATTGAAAGCCATTGAGTAATACTTAATGTGTTGGTCCACAGACCTGCTCAGAGTTCGCAGGTCTTTAGTCACCATTTGGCAACAGATGAAAAAATTAAGATGACTGAAGAAGTGCATAAATAAATAGATATGGCTATGGTAATGGTACTTCCTGCAATCTAGACAATTCATTCTGTCACCCTGAAAGGTTTAATTTAAACTGGTGTATTCTTGAAAATTACCTAGCAAAATATAAGAAATTTAAGGTAAACTGTCAGATCCCAAATATGACTGTCATTAAGCAATGGGACGTTTTGTATTTTCATGCCTACCATTATTCTGCTTGTTAAACAGTACAACCATTACTACCAGCCTGTATATGCAACATCATATAATAAGTCACCACTGCATCGCTACCCAGATGATCTCAAGCGTCTCAAGGGTGGGTATCAATGTCATTTAAAAGTGTTCACAGGGGTCACAAAAATGATGTTGTACATTTAAGTGTGGTGAGGGGGTGATTTTGTGATGATGTATTATTAGTGTGTCTAAATTTTGTAAAAAATGTTTGTGAATTGGGGGAGGGAGATAAAAAAATTGGCCTAAATAGTGTGACACTTTTAATGGAAGACCCACTAGTTTTTCTTATTTTTGATTTTCAAGTATAATTTTTATATATTTACTTAATCTTCTCTGAAAATGTAAATAGTAAGTAAAAATGACAGCGTCTCTCTTTACTTTTAAATCAATTATAATTTAACAATATCTGTATGTAGATTTGAGTTAACTTATTTCACACAATATATTTTGACCTTAACATTCCTATATATTTCAACGAATGTATGTTGCATTGTCCCATAGCACCTTTGTGTTTTAGTAAAACTGAATTTTTAATAACTTATTTAGGTCGTCTTCCACGTGCCTACTCTGTTCACCAACCTGAGCTTGACACACTTGCTCAAAAGGCTTATTGCAATAGTTGGGAGACATCCTATCGCACATCCTTTTTACATCCTCGACTGAGGCTGCAACCAATCAAAAGTGAGCCTGATGACCAGGGAGTCAGATGTCCTTAAATAAAAGATTTAAAATTTGTTTAAATTAATTTAATTTTATCAGTATTAACCAATTGCAGGGTCTCATTTCAGGAAGTGTTTAAATTATATAACTGAATAACCTTTAACTTTAAATCAGGAGCTGCAAACTATGGTCTGCAGGCCAAATCAAACCAGGCACTTCTTTTGTAAGACCCTTGAATATATCATTTTAATTCTTGAAAAGTTCCAAGCATGTGCTAAAATAGTATTATAATTGTCATTTAAAAAAATATTTTGCATTCATATGCTGCTTGGTCTATTGTCATGATGTTATAATCATGCCACAGCATGTCCACTTAATACCAATATCTTCCCCATACCAACAAAAAAAAAATGAATCTCCTTTTAGAACCATTGCTTGTTTAATTACAACTGATATATTCATCCCCATTCAAAACAAACATATATGTTCACTTGTACTTATGCCTTACCAGTGTAAAGTGGTTAATGCATACTATGTTTCATTGCATGCGGCTCATGTGATGAGATGCATACCTGATTAACATGTGACCACTATTCCCCCCCTCCATGCTCTTTATGAAGTCTATGTAAGTCTCAAAACCATTTTTCACTCCATTCTTTTAACAATTGTCTCACCTCTCCATAGTTCACATATTTTTAATAAAACCTGATACATGGCATTCCTTTATGCCAATGCAGTTCTAATATAAAGTTTTCTACATGATTTCTCCATATTATTTTAAATTTGTAGGAAAGTATATGACATTTATTTTATGAATTTAAGTAAGAGAAATAGCTAAAACCATTACAGAAAATGTGAACTGAATTTTCTAAAAAATCCCAAAAGTGTACGCCTACAATAAACATCTGATATGTTATCAAATCATGGTTAATGTTGCTGAAATGTATTAACAAAAAAATTTTTGGCATTCCATTTTAAAGTGCCTTTGTTTTGCTTATGAAAGCAGTTTTAGCCCTTTTTTTTTGCAATAATATTTTATATTTGTGTGCCAAACATGACCAAAGCAAATTGTGATACCTTTATACCTAGTTATTAATACATCATCAAATTATATTTGAAATATATAGCTGTGTCTAATTTACTTGTTTACTTCTTTATATTTTACTTTTGTAAACATTTTGGTTATTAAAAGCAAATCAGTAGTGTTTGAATGGTCTTTATTAACCAAGGCCCAGCAGTTGGCAAAATATGGCATCCAGGCAAAATTTCATTTTCTCTCCCTCCTGTGGGCTAATAATAGTTTTTAAACTTACATAATATAATATTTAAATCTCAGAAGAACAGTTACTCCTAGAAATTTTATAATCATAAATAAGGTTTTAATCACAACACCATAATGGTGGTTTGTTTTAAATTGTTTATGGCTTACATTATTTTATGCTTTTGGCCAGCACATTTTTATCACATGGGAATTACAGTTTTTGGTGACAAATTTACTCTGTTTTTTTAAAAACCTATATGATAACATCATGTCATTTCCTATTCGCACAAGAGAAATAAAATATTTAGTTATCAACTTTTATTAAAAAAATTTCCCCTACAACTACTCTAGACTTTCATTTAATTCTTGTAGTCTATATCATATTTCAATACACGGGACATAAGAAAAAAAGGGTTTAATATTTTTGTGCTGGCAGGAAATTAATTGTATAAATTCCTTTCATATAGTTGCATAAATTTATCTATTAATTATTTTAATGAGATTTTTAGGTAGTGCAAATGTTTAGGCTTCTAGATAATTTACAGCAGTTTTGAAAAGTGCTTAGCAATAAAATGATTTAAAATATATCACCTTAGTCTTGGCTTTTAAAAATTTATGTTTACCTTCTGTAAATTTGGGATTGTTCAATTCAATCTTCATTTCAGCAATAGGCCCTATATCTTCCTTGCTTATATTTTTTTATGAAGCTTTTACTTTTTACTATTTATAAGAAATAATTGAATAGATGAAGCAAGCGCCCCCTTCTCTCTTTTTAAAAAATAAATAATGTGAATGGATAATTCAACATTTACAAAATAATTAGGTTGTTAGAATTAGACAAAAAATAATAATAGAGAAATGTCCTTATAAGGAGTCCCTCAACAGGTGGCCCAATACCATTTGTTTTTCCATGGATAGTTGTTCCAAATGTCAACGAATATGACACATTTGTGTAATTTCATAGCTCCAATAGAGATATATAACATCCTCAACCCACCAATTACTTAAAAATTCTCTTGACTAGCAATAAGATCTATAAATTCTCCTCACTACCAATGGTGGTTTACAACTTTACCAAACCACCATTATGATTACATAAAACCGGGGCAAAAGAAGCTATAGTCTGTACTTAATTCCTAGCTTCTAGAAACATTTTATTTTTTGTATTAGATATTGGCAAGATCCGTGGATCTTTGTAGAATTGACAATAAAAACTCTGGGTTTTACTGAATATTTTTTATTATTATTTACATAATGGAATGCTTGGGATATAGTGTGAAGTGAATAAATCAAAGATCAATGATTTCATGCAAAAATTTAATTTTTTAAAACAATTACCAGACCTGTAGAAGGCAGAGTTTTACAGTAAAATGTGCATTTTGTATAAAGTTATTGATGAATTTAAATCTCAAAATATACCACAAAAAAATTTTTGTACCTGCACAATTTAAATAATATAAATTTATAAATACAAAAAACTATTTAACTTAATGATGTACATATTTGATGATGTTTGAAAAATGCTGAAAGCGCTGGCAAAACATTAATTATACTTTGTAGAAAAAAAATAAATATACTCCAAAATTATTATTATCATTTTAAGAAAAAAAAAGTTTACAGGTTTGACAAGTCCATAAATATTTAACTTTTGACAAGGAAATGTTTAAGCATTTACAGTTCAAAAGTTACAAAGAAAATTATCATAAAATTTAATTGCCTGTGAAAATCAACCTAGGAAATAATTGTAGAGGTTATTGCTTGGAAGTTGTTTTACCAATAAATAATACTTATATGAAATATAGCTGAATTTTTATATATTTAACAAAAATTGAAATTGCTATCATAGAATGTTTCTAATCATCTCCATCCCCTGGTTGAGCCGCGTCCTCCGTTTCTTCAGCCAGAGTTTCTGTATTGTCACCGTCCCCTCCAGTCTCATCCCCACCTCCCTCTTCCGTGGTTCCACCATCAGCATTTCCATCTTCTGTATCAGGTTGTTCTTCCCTTTCTTTATTTGCTGAATCGCCCTCTCCTTCAGCGGCTGGTGCGGCTGCAGCTGTTGCTTTTTCTTCTTCATCCTGTTTGGCCTGCTCCTCAGCTGCTGCCTTAGCAACAGCATCAGCTTCTGTGGACAAGTAAATTCTATTAAAAGCTGTCTCCTTTTAAAAAAAAAAATTTTATTAAAAAAAAAATAGTTTCTTAAATTCAGTTACCGTAAAAGAACAAATTAATTATACACATATTTTTTATTGTTATTGATTTAATCAAAGACAAGAATCTTTGGAAATTAATTTATGATAGCATTAAAATATTTTTTAATGTCTGTGAGTTTCAAGGATTTCTTGATTAACTCAAAGTTAAAGACTTTAATTTTAAAAAAAATATATTCTATAAAAAAAATTTAAGACTTCAGTATATTTTAGAAAAATAATTGGGTCTTACAAAGATGCTCAAATTATTATTTTAAAAAATTAATCTTGACAATAAATGTATTAAAGATAACTGGTTCTGACTTAGATTCTCAAGCTTATGAGAGCATACCTAGCTGAGCTCGAACATTCTCTGCTTCAGCCAACATTCTCTCCTCTTCTTCTTCTTCTGGTGTTTTCACGTGAAGTGCAGTGGTTACACCTGCCTGCCACTTTGTTGTGATGGGAGCAGTCGGTTCATCATCATCAGCCTTGTCATCCTTTTCCTGAGGTACAATGATGTACTGTCCATGCTGCTCACATCCAATATCAAACACATACTTGCCACGTCCTTCCGGCTGTTAAAGTAAAAGAGAAGCTGAAGTGGAATGTTATGGATTGGTGCAGACATAATAAGTGTACTAATTAACCTACTGAACACTTACTGAGCAATCCTTTAGATACACTGATAAAATTTATTTTCACCACATAACATTTAGATATATGACTATGGTTATTATTATTATTAGTGGTTTTATATAGCGTGGTACCCCAGCCTAGGGCTGGACTCACCACGCTGTACATACAATTTAACAATCATGAACTTAAAAAATTAATTAACATACATTAACTAAATAAAAAAAGAAATATATTTAAAACTATTTACATGTCAAGCCATGGACGACACCCAGCAGCATCGTTTATCAGTCAGAGGGGGAATCAGTCAGGATAGTAGAGTTTAAAAAGATGTGTTTTGAGTGCAGTTTTGAAGGCTATGATGGACGGTATGTAGCGGCAGTGTAATGGAAGAGAATTCCATTGTTTAGGGGCACAGAAAGAGAAGGATCGTTCACCATATGTTTTTGTGCAAGTCTTGGGGACAGAAAGAATACACACATCTGCGGAGGAGCGAAGCTGTCAAAGGGGTGAATAGACAGAAAGAAGTTTGGTAAGATAGGAAGGGCCGGAATTCGAGAAAAAGTTGTGATACAGAACAGAGAGTTTGTAGTCAATCCGTGCTTGCCAATGAAGTGAATAAAATAGTGGTGAGACATGATAATTTTTATTTGCCTTTATATCATCAATCAGTACAGATTTTATTCAATGAAATTAAAACCTCTTAAAAACAAAGCTTTTCATATAAATCCTTTATAATATGTAATATTGAGCAATTGGGGGGTGGGGGGCCTGAAAATTTGACAAAACATGCATACAAGTAATGCACTTTTTAAGAATCACAATTAGTGCTCCCGCTCCCAAGCCTCACAACTGCACATTCTTTCATGCCCCAGAACTATTTTAATATTCTAAATACCCACCCACTTTTACACAGCAGAATTATTTCAACAACTATTTCAGAAAAAAAAAAGAAAATATTACACACCAGACTAATTTTTGGGGGTTAGGGTTTAGGGGTGGGGCTGAAAATTTGAAAGAATGTGTTGTCATAGGCAACAAGTCTAAGTGCCAAGTTGCCGCTCGAAAGGTTGATTGGAAGTGGATTTATTGGCCGTCCAAAGATTTTGCCAGCCAGTCAACCACAAACAAAAGCAAAGTTAATATAAAGGATTTAATAAAAATATTATTATAGCATAATTACAGAAATAAATATTATGTTCATTTAATTATGTAGCTTAAAAAAGCAAACAGTTCTTTAAAAACTTACTCTGTTTTCTTTGAAGAGGCCGACATACTTGTGATTAGCATGAACCAATTCTCCTTGCCCTTCCCACTTTCCATTGTTCCAGAGTCCACAATACTTAGATCCGGTGGCAGCATAAACATATGTTCCTCGTCCATGGCGCACATGATTCTGCCACTCCCCTTCATAGGTGTCACCGTTCACATAGTAATATTTCCCAAAACCACACCTCTGGTCCTCAACCCAACTTCCTTTAAACCAAAAATGTAACAACATTGAATCAATATTACCATAGAGTATAGATAATGGGATTCCAAAGATATTTTGTTATAGGGAGTGGAGCAAGTTTATGGAACCCAGAAAGTCATTAAACTTAAACATGTTATTTTTCTTTAAATATAAAGGTGAAGCTTTGTTGTAGATTATTCAAAATGTTTGTGCTAAAAAATATTTTTTTAAACTTAATTTTCAAAAACATTTAGTGTAGAGAGGATTGAAATATTAAAATTTGAGTAGGATCATTTTCACTAATAAGATCCATAAAAATAATTTAAAAATTGGCCTATCTTTGAAAGTGTTTTCAGATTTTTTAATAAATGGATTTACACAAGCTATGTCCCTTTTTTCAAACTGTTACTTTTTACAAGAATCATGTCCTGTTAATTTTTGTAAAATAAATGGACTTAATGATAAGTTATGTGATTATGCTATTAATATTTAAAATATTTGTACACCAAGTTTATGAGATTTTAAAAAAAATGTCTAAAAAACTAACCAGCAAACATTATGTGACTGTTGGATCATCTATTACTCTCTTCTGAATTTTAATGCATCAAATTTTTGAAAAAATTATTGCTAAAACTTCTAACTGGATATGCCACTAGTTTTGAATAAACCTACCTTCATACTTGGATCCATCAGGATAGATGAATGTACCCTGGCCATGCTTCTTGTTGTTAATGTAATCCCCAAGGTATCTGGCACCATTTTTAAATCTGATTGAAAAAATAAAATAGGTAAAAAATCATTGGCAACAACATAAAAGTTATTTTAATTTAATTTAAATGATCATTTCCAAAATGAAAATTATTGATGGTGAAGTATCAAAAATTTAAATTATGTAATTTAAGTTTTTAAGAAGCTTTTTGACTGAAATCAAAGTAAATTTCGCTTTAAGAAGAAACCATTGTTCTGTCCAGGGCTGAAACTGAAAGTCAAACTAATAAATGAAGGACTGTGTTCAAGCCATGTGAATGTAATAGTAGACATCTTATTTTCCTATCTTTTGATTCAAGTTTCAACATACCTTGTAGTACTATTCCAAGTCAAAATAAGGGCCTTTTGAGGAAAATAGCTAGTTTTTCATACTGATTAAAAGGGGGAAATAGTAGAGCTTTAAAAGAGTTACATATACACAGTGTTAAATCAAGTTGGAGAAAACTGAATTGTGTCTTGTGCACCACTAAACTGGATTACACCCTGTATACCACTAACTATGGGCATGCAAGCTTGGCCTAGTATAAATGTATTTTTCAGTTTCCAAGATGAAAATTTAATAAAAATCTGATATACTCATAGTTTTATAGCTGCACAGGTCTGGTCCACTACATTTGTGATGTTAACCCTGTTTATGTCACAGCAAGTGTATGTTCCATTTATACAAGTTCTAAAATTTCCTTATGGGACTGCATGATGATGATGGCGGTATAAATTATGTTTGATTTATGATTTCTTATCATTTTGCAATGAGAATGGAAGCTTTTTTATTTTAAAATAGATTTTAAGGAAATAAGATAAGATGAATTTTAAACTGCAGGGAAGTGAATGAAGGCCAGAACCTAGGCTTCGATGGGGGGATGATGTGGAGAGGGTTCTACAGCAGCTGGGAGTCTGAGCATGGAAAAGAAAAGCATCAGTTAGGTCTGAGTGGAAGGAAATGGTGAGGCAGGCCAAAGTCCTACATGAACAGTAGCACCCCAGGGATAGATGGAAGAGAATGAAGTGAAGTTCTGTGGCAGTACTGCGAATCTCAAAAGGTAGACCAAACTCACCTGTAAACACCAGCTCCATGGCGTTTTCCATTTTCATACAGGCCTTCATATGTGTCCCCTTTTGGTAGAGTAGCCTTTCCTTGTCCATGGCGCTCTTCTCTTTCATTTCTCCCTCCCTCATATGTCTGAGGATGTTAAAGAAAGTTAAAAACAATGTTTGACATGGAAATAACACAGTTGACCATTGGAATATTGGTTATGACAGCTGGTGGACATGAACAACTTCTCTGTGTTATTTACAGTTCATCTGAAAATTTTTGTGGTCTATGACTGATTTCTTGTACATCCTCTTTCTGCATGTCATTTCTCAAAAATTTTTTTTTTTTACCAATGAGAATCATCTTCATTATTTGTATAATTGAGTTTAATAAAATAAAAATAATAATTCCTTAACTAATTTGAACAGTATGGAATACAACTGAAACTGGAAGCAACTGTAAAGGAAAGCACAGGACCAAGATAAATTATGGAAAATTCTTGTAGACAGCCTATGCCTCAGATGGGGTTAAAAGGCATAAATAAATCAGTAATGTGAAAGTAGTTTAAATCAGTGGCAGCTTAGCAAAGTGGCTGATATAAAAGTCAAGGATGTCACTGCTATCAGCTTATAGGGATTTTCAAATTAATGAATTATCACAATAAAACAAATTTTGAAATGATGTTGTTATGAGATTTACAAAAAATGATATTTCTTGGCAGCTAGCATTCCCAGTCCAAAGAATACACCAACCGCTGCTTTAATTATTGATATAATTCATTTAATATGTATGAATAGAATAGTTATGCACAACTTTAAAACATCCCAGGTCAATTGGTACTCAAGTATATGTTAAGATCAATTTCTTTTACTTAAAGACAATATTTGAATATTATGGCATAGTTACTGACCTACATACAATACAGTGGCAGTAGTGATAGAGTAAAGTCTACACCACTCGAAATTTTTTTTAGTGTTTTAGTTTGTAGAATGTACAGTTATATACATAAGTGTATGATTCAATGTGTTTTTAAAAATAATTTTAACTATTTATAACAACTATACAAGCAAACACAGGTATATTGATTATAAGAAATGAATAGTTCAATAGTACATACTAGTACTATGACTATGAGTACAAGTATCTTAGTTAATGTTATACATACTTGTGATCTTTTAACTTTTACTGGGACTTCAATTTCATCTAATGAATCTAAATAATGTCTTAGACTTTAACATAACCAAAACTTTCAAAACAGTGTTAAGTACAGTTAAGTCTAAGTTGACTAAGACGACTAAGACTAAGACCTAAGACTAAGATAATAGTATTACAATTGACTGAGTTTTCACTGAGTTGTGTAGTGTAAAATGAGCCTGAGAGTATCTCAGTACTGAAACTCCTTTTTTTTGGAAGTATTTTGGGGACTTGAGACAAGAGGGCAAGAGAGTGAAAGAGAAATAATGTTCACTATCAGTACTATCAGGGTTAATATAATATTAATATTAATAATGATTTTAAATTTTAATATTTCATAAAAACAAATGAATTTAACAATAATCTTACTTACACCAAGTGAGGCCTGTTCCTCCTCCATTTCTTCTGATCCCATGTCAGACATTTTCGTTTTTTTTTTTTTTTTAGGGGGTAGAATATTTTTTTTTCAAAGGGGCTACCAGAACGCTGTCTGCCTTACAAATGAATTTAACAATAATCTTACTTACACCAAGTGAGGCCTGTTCCTCCTCCATTTCTTCTGATCCCATGTCAGACATTTTCGTTTTTTTTTTTTTTTTAGGGGGTAGAATATCTTTTCTTACAAGGGGCTACCAGAACGCTGTCTGCCTTACTTTATGAGCTGGATGTACTAACGTAGCTTAACCACCGTCGCTAAAGAGCGACAGTTGCTAGGTAACAGTACACAACAGCCGGTGTTTGCAAAGGGAAGTCATACTAAATATATCCAGAGCAGTGAAGAAAAATTGGTTATCTTTCTTATTCTAACAACTTTACCTTCGTGGATGGTAGCCTTATTTATTTAGGAAACTGGTTTATATAAAAAAAAATTAACTAGATATCGCTAAGCATTTACAATTTTTACCCTAAAAAACACAATTATATCACATAATTAGTTTACAATGGATTTTAATAATTGTATTTCACGTAGATAAAATAACTATGAAACAGTGAGTGAGAAGGATTTAACTTGTAACTTTATACAAGGTAATCAGGTAGCATTTACTTACTTACGCCTTTTACCCCATCTGCGGCTTTCCTTTACATTTAAAGTGTCTTCTAGGTGTTTCCCACACTTTGTGTGTCAGCCTCTAGATCAACGCCTCTACGCATTCTTAGGCATTCCTCTCATTCTTGTTCCTTGTGGATTCCATGTTTGGATTGTCTGGTGATGTTATCTGGGGGTTTGCGGAGAGTGTGCCCTATCCATATCCATGTTTTTCGTATTATTTCATCAACAATAAGCTCCTGGAATGTTATTTCCACTAAGTCCTTGTTGGTGATGGTGTTTGGGCATTTTATGCTCAGGATCTTTCAAAGGTTAGTATTTATGAAGGTCTGCACTTTCAGCATAATAGAGTAGGACTGTTTTGACATCATTAGGCACAGAAAGACATAAATCATTAAAAAAAAAAAAAGAACAACACAACAAAAATTTGAATACAGACAGAAATGAATACAGAAAGACAGACTTAGATATAAAAGGTTAGTATTTATGAAGGTTGTCACTTTCAGCATAATAGAGTAGGACTGTTTTGACATAATTAGGCACAGAAAGAAATAAATCATTAAAAAAAAAAAAAAGAACAACACAACAAAAATTTGAATACAGACAGAAATGAATACAGAAAGACAGACTTAGATATAGATGGATGAATAGATAATAATAATAAAGTTCATTTCAAAAACACGCTTCATCCCCAAAGGCTCGAAGCGCGGTACAAAGTCAACAAAAAACATATCTTTAATTAACCACATTTAAAACAAACGCAACACTACAGAAACTAACTACAAGCATACAATGTCAAAGTCTTTCTAGCCATTTCAACCATAAGCAACACAGCCATTATGCATTAACTGGAAAATAAGGTAGACAATCATCCCAGAAGGTATTTGCGAAATAGATGTGTCTTTAGATCGGTTTTAAAAAACTCCAGTGTCTGATTGTTTCTGAGATCGACTGGAAGGGCGTTCCAAAATGATGGATAGTTGGATAAATAGAGGGATAGACATAGATACGCTTAGAGTTAAGATTTCCGGGTCTATGATATTAGTGCTGGCAAAAATAATTGGTGGCTTATGACTACCAACATAAAAAAATGCAATGCACTTTGCTTTACACAAAATCTTCAGTGGCAGGACTCTACGTATGCAATAATCAATTTGTACTATTGGTTGCACCGGTGCGAAACTGCTCTAAACATGTCCGCGCCACTTTTAGGCGACTTCCGACGATGCCATCGTACCAAACCGGTGGGTGTCTTAATCACTAAGCTAAAAATGTTATTAACCAATTATATTCATGCTCGATTCACAGAAACAAATTTTCAGTTACTGCTACAAAGTATCCGAGTTCAAAGTCATTGTAGAAAAAATGCCATACTGGCCCAAATTAGCCTTAGATCAATTGTTGTTGTTTTTTTGGCACAGGGGTTGGCACCCTTTTTGCTATTTGCATGCCAATGTAAGATTTTAAATTCATTCAGCTTGCCAATAACTTATAAGTGTACCATTTAAGGTGCATATTTAAAAGTAGTTATAACTATTTTTGGTCTCCCACGTGCCATTGAAAATCGCTGTGCGTGCCAGGTTTGGCATGCGTGCCGTAGTTTGCTAACCCCATGCTTTAGAAGACTGTATTGCAAATCTAGTCAACAGTAAAATAATTATTATTAATAGTGGAGACCCTGTCCTGGAAAAAAACCCAGCCCAGACAAATGTTTAGTGACGTTGTGAGTGACGTAGTGAATGACGTAGTGATACCGTCTGCTGCTCATTTCGAAAGGCGGAAAGGAGTTGATTCTGTCAGTGTCAAAACCAGGGGCGAAGTTGACCGAAAAAGGGGGGGGGATTATTGTTCCCCCATTGGGTGTTCTCAAATCTACTGGACCTATCTCACTGGCCAAAGCGTTTTTAAATACTAGTATTTACATACATATTACACAGGCATAGATTAATACCACCCAACCCCCCCCCCACACACACACAATCTAAAAGGAAGAAGTCCCATCCATCAGTTGGTGTCATTTAAGTCCCTGGTTATGGAGATGCAGTAAATTCAAAAAATATATTTAAGTTCAAGGCAGGTTGTTAGAATTAAACTATTCATCCATCGCAGAGCGCATGCGCCAAGCGCCATCAACATTCATGGACAGTTTTTTAAAAAAAATTTCACAGTTGTCACAAATCTCTTATTTCAGGTGTAACCAGTTGAACTACCCCCCACCCAACACGTTCGTAGAAAGCGCCCTACACCAGAGAGGTCGCTGGGGTGCAGGACGATGGATAACATCTACAATTCAACTGGTTACCACCAGAAGGAAGCCTTCCCCACAAAGGAAGAGATCCGGGAGTGCAACGCTGCTTTGAACAGGCCGCCCTACCCCAACTTTGATTGGTGGTACCAAGACCCTGTAATTCACGAGTGTCACCTCTGTGGTTATTTTTTCCATGGCGATAAAAAAGTAGTCCTCAACTATCCTAATCCCCACCCATCCCATCCCCGCAGCGCTACGGCCCATGTGGGGCTTTGGCCTGCCTCACCACTTCCTTCCGCTCAGACCTAACTGATGCTTTGGCCTGCCTCACCACTTCCTTCCGCTCAGACCTAACCCGTGATTTTCTTTTCCATGCTTGGATTTCCCAGCTGCTGTAGATCTTTTTGGCACATCATCCATCCATCTAAGCCCAGGTCTGCCTTTGAGCCACACAATCCCCCCTCCCCAACCCCCCAAAAATTCTGGCCATCCATTAGAGCAGGGGTCGGCGAGCTCGGGGTAAAGTAACCCAAATAAGTAAAAAATGAACATCGGGGGGGGGGGGATAATTCATCAATCAACACGTACAATTCTATTAAAAGCGCGTTTCTTTTTGACGGATGGCTTTTCTTGTGGCAACAGCTTCTTGAACACAACTATGTACACCAACTTGTACACACTTTGTACACAGATATCGATGCTACTGCGTATGCACCCATATGCTGTAAAAACTGCACACGAGGAAGCCTCCAATCGTTGCTGTCCTTTCGCAACAACCCATCGCTAAAGACAAGGACTTCCCACGTCTAGGATAGACGAATAGCGGCCCCTTTAGTTAGACTAAATCCCATTAGGATGTCATTTGTGGTCGTTTATTTTAGTTAAACTGAAGAAGTAACTTTACAAACATAATATAGTCCTTTCAATTATCTTTCATTTGATACCTCATTTTGTCTTACACACCCAACAATAATATTTTAAATACTTTTTTAATCCCTACCTCTCACTTCTGGTACCCGGGTACGAATAGTCGCAGCCTAAAAAAAAAAAAACCAAAGCAGTGAAATCAAACTCTCCCTATAAATAGATTTTATTTTAGTCGCCATTTTGATTTTAAATTATCCATGATTTTCTTACTTTCAAATCCGGGGGGGGGGGGGGGGGGTTGGCTGTAACGTCGGCTTGAATAAAACATATTCTGTGGCGTGAAGGCTAAAAATGCATCAGTGAAACAAGTATTTTCGTTGCTTCCATCCAAACAAGACATTCAACCCTCCATCAATCTTCGTAGCGATATAGCTATCCAGTGGCCTAGGAAGGCTGGGGGCGGAGGAGAAGGGGCGGCATTTTGGGCCATTTTTTAGCTTTTTTTTTAAAACTGGGTGGGGTTTGCAAAAAAAAAAACACCATCCCTAAAACAACAGCAAACAAAGAACAAGGAAAAGCAAAAAAAAAAAAAAAAAAAAAAAAAAAAAAAAAAAAAACACCAAACAAAAAAAAAAAAAAAAAAAAAAAAAAAGAAAAAAAAAAAAAAAAAAAAAAAAAAAGCAACAAAAAAACAACAACGATTACCTTCATCTTCCATTTGGAATGGTGCGTCAAGCTACAAGACGGGCTCATGATGTGTTTTGTCATTGTTTCTTCAGTGTTTAGATGCTCCTCAGTTTACACAGATTTATCTACGATTTTATTAGAGCAAACTGTTTTCAACCAAATAGTGGCATGCAGTTTTTTTCCTCTGTGCTATTTCCCCCCCCCCCCAAAAAAAAAAATTACTGTAAACGTACTGAAATTAACACTCGCTTTACGATTTCCTTCTATAAACTGTTTTCAACCAAATAGGGGCATGCAGTTTTTTTCCTCTGTGCTATTTCCCCCCCCCCCCCAAAAAAAAAAATTACTGTAAACGTACTGAAATTAACACTCGCTTTACGATTTCCTTCTATCTCCCGCCCCCATTCTCTCTCCTTCATCCTCTCGCTCTCCCCCCCCCCCTCTCTCTCTCTCTCTCTTTCTCTCTCTCTCGTTCTCTCTCTCTATCCTCCGAGGGTACCGAAAGTAACCTGCCGCTGTCTCCATCTCGCAGACTTTACGTCGCCAGAAGAGGCCGAAGGTGATCCGGAGAGATGAGCTCCCCATCCCGGTCCTCCCCAACCGCTACCCTTACCGCTACACGTCGGCACAGCCGTGCACCGTCGGCAGGACGGCAAAGGAACTGGATATTTATAGAACGACATGTAAGCACGATCTTGTATCTTTACCAATATCAGACATTTCACAGTGTAGCATTTCATTGAATGAGAGCAGTCACGTGAGCCCATCAGCCGCTGAGGCTGCAGGAGATAAAAACAAATTATTCTAATTTGCATATTATATAGCAGGGGGCCTCAAAAAGTCACGGAACGGCTCTGCGTACAATATGGTGAATTAGCAAATATTTCTCATTAAGTGCTGACCCTCTAAGATTACTAAATACAAAGGGATTTCCACAGATCAAGTAAATAATCGACAGGTTTTTTGCTCCTTTGAAATTTCAGCTAGTTTTAATCTTTGTGTGAAATTGTTTCCCTAAATTTTATCATACCAATAAAGCAGCGGTTCTCAACCTGTGTGTCATGACAGCTTTGGGGGTTGGGGGAATCGGACGCCCCTTACAGAGGGGTCGCCTAAGGCCATCTGTCAACACATATTTATGAAGTAGCCACAAAAATAATTTTATGGTTTGGGGATCACAACAACACGGGGAACTGTATTTAAGTGTCGCGGGATTAGAAATGTTGAGAGCCACTGCCATAGATAGATTTGTCAAGCTGGTCAAGGATTTTCAAAAACTGGAAACTAAATCTCCGACCTAAAATATTCTATTAAAAATTACATAAATGATGAGGTTACTGGGATAGGCGTCCAAGGAGCACAGTGTGAGAACAACTACTTTGACGTTGCTATAGAGTATAGAGTATAGAGTATATAATCTTAGGTTTTGTGTGAAATCTTTCAGTCACGTTAACACCGAAGATCAACTGTAGCGACAAGCTGGACTTAAGAATGGTCAACGAGGTCAGAGGTTACGAAACTGTAAGTACGGCTAAAAAAAGGGGGGGGTGGTGAGGAAATATGGGGGGCGGGGAGGGGGGTTAATGGTTGGAAATTGGTTCAGACAGGGATGAGGAATAGGAATCAATAGTTGGAAATGGATTCTGGCAGTGGGGAGGAATGGGGTTCAATAGTTGGAAATGGATTCTGGCAGTGGGGAGGAATGGGGTTCAATAGTTGGAAATGGATTCTGGCAGTGGGGAGGAATGGGGACATGGGTTGGGAGGGGGTACATAGAACCAATTTACTGGTGTACAATCGGTAATTAAAATGCGTGGGGGCTATCAATCATAATTTCAGAAGGCTTTCCCAGAGGTTCACCTGGACATGGACTAAGATACAGGTTAAAACCAGCACACTGTCTTAGATACAAGCACGGCCGTTCTGACTGATTGATCTCTAAGATAGCGTTCTTATCACTTCTGCGCATTACATATTGTGCTCTAGTTGTAGCAGCATCACTCCCAATGCACCCCCCCTCCAAACCACCATGGTTTCTCTCCTCAGGCCATCATGTCTGCGTCATCCATGGCAAGTTGTGCACTAATGCATCACTCCCAATGCACCTCTACCCCAACCACCATGTTTCTCTTCTCAGGCCATCATGTCTGCGTCATCCATGGCAAGTTGTGCACTAGTAGCATCACTCCCAATGCACCTCTACCCCAACCACCATGTTTCTCTTCTCAGGCCATCATGTCTGCGTCATGGCAGGCTGTACCCTAGTAGCATCTCTCTAAATCCCCCCCCCCCTCTCCATATTTCTATCCTCAGGCCAGCATGTCTGCGTCATTGCAACCCTTCAGGAAGGGACCGGAACAGTCCACACATCCCTCCCAATGCACCTCTCCCCCCACCCCCCTGTTTCCCTTCTCAGGCCATCATGTCTGCGTCCTGGCAGGCTGTACCCTAGTAGCATCTCTCTAAATCCCCCCCCCCCTCTCCATATTTCTATCCTCAGGCCAGCATGTCTGCGTCATTGCAACCCTTCAGGAAGGGACCGGAACAGTCCACGTCCGGTCCGACTATGATTCCGTTCGGTCTGAGTGTAAGTATCGATCTAGCAACATTTTTGAAGGTAATATTACTTAAGCATATTTGTTGTAAAGAATCGATTCTTTGCTTCGGTACCAATATATTTGCTTGTTAATTTTTTTAAACAAGACCACGCAAGATTGGAAGACTCGATTTATGTTTACTTATATTTGGTGGTCTTGTTTCCGGTAATGATCCCTATATTGATTGAATAAAGTTAGTTTATGTCTTTCTATACCCATTAAATGTTTTGATCTGCTGTTCAGATTAATCGTATCTCTGGTATCAGCAGGAAATTAATTACGACACATGAAGTAGTCTGTATAATAACACATGCAGTAGTCTGTTTCATGACACACGCAGGAGCCCCTATAACGACACACGAAGTAGCCTGTGTAACGACATATGTGTCCATTTCAGGAGCCGCTCTTAGTGCCGTATAAATCTCACTCGAAATTCGATGAATACGTTGTGGAGACCCTACACCCCGGCTGGAGGAAGGATCCACTTTATAGGCGGTAAGACTGCATGAGGGAGGCCCATACAAGGGGGGTGCATTTTTCTGTACCCATGGAGTGCACTTTTCTGTACCCATGAGGTGCATTTTTCTTTACTTATGGGGTGCATTCAACAGCTTGGAGGATGGGAAAAACGGAGCTGCGAAATTGGGGGGGGGGGTAGTGAACATTTGCTCGTATTTCTGGACTATAAAAGAGAATATTGGCACAAAATAAAAATAAAATAATTTATGGCAGATGCCCCTAGAAATCATGTTGTTTAAAGCTTTCATAAAATTATAGAGCTCAAGAAAAGTTCTAGCTTTTCAGCTTGATCTTTGAACAGACACGCCCCCCTTTCCAAACAAAATAATCTCAGGGGCAGTTCAAGAAAAAACAAACAAACTTTGTCGACACTATATGTCTCCACACAGGGAACAGGGTTGACACTATATGTCTCCACACAGGGAACAGGGTTGACACTATATGTCTCCACACAGGGAACAGGGTTGACACTATCTATCCAGACAAGGAGGAACATTGTTGACAACATTTATCCACAATGGGAACATTTTTGAATATATATGTATCACATTGGGAACATTGTTATATATATATATATATATCTCACAAAGGAGCATTGTTGTCAATATGTGTATCCACACAGGGAAATTTGATAAAAACACATGCATCACACAGGTTAGATTGTTTACAATATATGTATCCACACAGGGAACATTGATAAAAAATACATGTATCCACACAGGGAACATTGATAAAAAATACATGTATCCACACAGGGAACATTGATAAAAAAATACATGTATCCACACAGGGAACATTGAATATCTATCTTTAAAAAAAATTATCGTGACGTTTTCCATCCATCGCAAACTTGTTCAAAGCCTGGCAGTGAGTTTAGAGAAGCGTATGCTAGCTGCTATTCTTTCGTGTCTTCTCTCCTCACAGATGTGTCAAGTTCAGCTTCCAAGAGAGCCTTGACGAGCCCGAGCCCACCAATGTATCAACGCGATGAGCAGACACGCGAGACGGCGTGAAAAATTACAACAACAAAATATTGGAGTAACATCAATAGAACATACAAATAATGTCAACAAGCTAAATACACGACTTTGTTCAATTCCTTTTTGAAAGCCCCTGTAGCTCCCGTTTCATTTTTGTGCATGTGTGTGTGTGTGTGTGTGTGTGTGTGTGTGTGTGTGTGTGTGTGTGTGTGTGTGTGTGTGTGTGCGTCTGTGTAAACAATATAATTGAGGAATGGGAAGTTAACATCAGCCACTGAATGAAATATTTTTGTGTGTGTGTGTGTGTGTGTGTGTGTGTGTGTGTGTGTGTGTGTGTGTGTGTGTGTGTGTGTGAGTGTGTGCGTCTGTGTAAACAATATAATTGAGGAATGGGAAGTTAACATCAGCCACTGAATGAAATAATAATTACCTTGCCTGGCTCTTTGATCCCTGTCCTTGTGTACTCTTTGTCCCTCTGTAATCATTGTTCCTATGTAATCATTGCCCCTATGTAATCATTGTCCCTATGTAATCATTTTCCCTATGTAATTCTTGTCCCTATGTAATTCTTCTCACTATGTAATCTTTACCACTATGTAATACTTATCACTATGTAATCCTTGTCACTATGTAATCCTTGTCACTATGTAAACTTTGTCACTATGTAATCCTTGTATCTATGTAATCCTTGCCCCTAATCCGTCTCACTATGTAATCATTGTCTTTATGTAATCATTGTCCCTATTTAATCTTTGCCACTATGTAAGCCTTGCCACTATGTAATCCTTGCCACTATGTAATCCTTGCCACGATGTAATCCTTATCACTTTGTAATCCTTGTCCCCATATAATCCTTGCCACGATGTAATCCTTGTAACTATGTAATCCTTGCCACGATGTAATCCTTGCCACTATGTAATACTTGTCCCTATATAATCCTTGTCCCTATGTAATTCTTGTCCCTATGTAATCCTTGTCCCAATGAGCCAGGGTCTCCCACCATCAATGATCTTATCTTCGTATCAGCACACGTCACTTTAGGCCAAGCTATGTTTATTTGACTTTTTTTGTTTTTTTTTATAAATCTGCTGAGCGTGGTCACGGTGTGTGGGGTGGGGTGGGGGGGGGGAGCCAAAATCCTCCCTCCTCGCTTAAAGAAAAGATAGAAGAGACATTTGTTTCTACGCAAACCGGAACTGTTATCTAATGACCCCTGCCACTGACAGGAGTAACAAGCGCATGCTCACGTTTTCCAAAAGTGTTTCTACGATTCCAAGAAGAGTAGCCTTCGAAATTGTTGTGTGTAATACATTTGATAAATAATATAAGAATTTTTTAAAAAGTGGTTTTGGAAGGGCGGGAGCTTGGGATATGTCTATTCTGCCAAGCAAAGCTGTTCCAACAGTTTAAAAAAAATAAATCTTGATGACTAGGGCGTGTCGTTAAGTGGGTTCAAGAAACCCTTTGAAGATACCATAAGATAGGCGCATTTGCCCTTTTTTAAAAAAATATATATATTTAAGAAAAAAAATGCAATGCTGTTGTATCTTAGTGTCAGTTCAAGTAAGACTGAACACATTGACCAAAAGCTAGCTACTTCCTGCCAAACAGAGGCGGCCGCAATGCGTGAACTTCCCATTGACTAACGTTACTTAGTAACCGCACTGTATGGGATTCCTAAATAGTGCTGCCAATTCTCCTCCTCACCCCCTTTTTTTACGGGTATGGTACCACCACTGAACCAAATTAATATTCAAATGTACCACCTTCTTTGAAACGGCAGATTTATTATATAATTTCCGTATAACAAAAAAAAATATTTCACAGCAAACTCACTTGCGGCGTTTTTAATAATCTCCTTAATTTCTCAGGAATCTAAACGTTAGTGACGAAATTGTTACATAGTGAATCATGTATGATGATGTATAGGTTTTTAAAAAATATCATTCATTCCACCAAAAAAAAAAAAAAAAAAAAAAAACAACAAACAACAAAAAAAAAAAAAAAAAAAAAAAAAACCATACCAGCAGAAAAAACAAAGAGTTTTAGCCGTTAACAATAACGAAAAAAAAAAAAGAAAATATGAAAAGACTTATTCAGAAAAAAGACAATAAAGTAAGAAAAAGACTTTTTTTCCATTGATTTACTTTTTACTTTTTATTTGAGGTTCGCCAACGGCCCTTGATGTCACTCTTACAAAGATGTTACTTTTGAATGATCCCCCTTGATTTAACACAATGGTGTGCATTATTTAAGCATTATTTAAGCAATGATGGTTAGAGATTTCTCTCAAAGATCATGACCCATTTTTTTAAAATATCCTTTCTCAAATCATTTTATTATTTAAGGTTGTATTGACAACCTCTTCTCTCAAAACCAGTAATTGAGTAAGTTTAATATTTATAACAATCAACATTTCGTTTGGACCTTACATGTAAAAAAATCTGACCAACTTATTGCCGGATTTAACAGTGATTTTTATCAATACAAAGCAAATAAGTTATATGGAAACGAATATAAAAGTGAATTGTTTTATACTTTTTTTTTGTTTTGTTAAAAGGTCTGAAATAGCAACGACTGGAGTTGGAAAAGATATGCGAATACGTTATTACTGAATTAATCGTGAAGAATGATACAGTCTATGGTTGACCATTACGACATATCGGTCTGACTCGGTTGCGATTTGAAATATGTTCACCACAGGTCTACAAAGTTATTGAATTGCACCCAACAGGCCACATTGACACCCGACAAAGGCAAAGCTGACTGAACGGAATGAAGCTTACGTCAAGGTTTGACAAAATCAAACTGGCCTGGCAGTTGACACCATTCATCTTTGGCATTAATATTAAAAAAACAAAAAACAACAATATATTACTCTTTTTTGGATTTTTAAAGTGCATTTCTAGTTTTCATATATATTTTAGCGTCTTGTAATTTTACTAAACAAAGTGCTTAACTTATAGCTTGTATAATATACCAATATACCAATTGCATAGAATCTATATATAGACATTTCAATGTTATCTAACAGCGTGGATTCCTCTCAAGGATGTAGCATAAGTTGCCGTCATTCTTGGGATAACTCCACGTGAAGCCGTTCCCTGGAGAGGAAGACAAAAGAAAGCACAAGATCAGGGTCTGTTTGTGGTTAGATGGCGGGCATGTATAGGTCAAACGGTTTCATGGAAGACATATTGATGAAACTGCCTACAATTATTACGGAGTAGCAAAATAGAACTGCAACCCTTTTACATCAGGCCTGGACAACTCAAAATGCAAGGCGGGCCGTAAAAATTTATGATAAACTTGTTCGGGCCGAAAGGAAATAGGCGGGGGCGGGGGGGGGGGGGGATATTTAGAAAAAAAAAAAAA